GAACTTTTCCCTGTCTATTTCCTTGATGAGTTCTGCGTAAGTGGGTATTCGTGTCAATCCCTGTTTTGCGTTGATTACTTCTGCTGTCATTGCTATATATTAATACTTTAGATTTTTATATTAATCTTGTGTATCGCCTCTCAACCACTGTTTATACTCATCAATTCTCTGTTTCATATTCTGGACGTTCGCCCCGTAATCTTCCAATCTGTGATTTTTCCTCACCTCCCTCAACCTTGTCATTTCGTTCTGTAGCATCTCATTCTCTTCCTTCATCCTCTGCTTTACTTGTAAGACCTTGTAGTCGTGCTCGGTGTTGTGATATTCAAGAAGACGCTTTAGGTAAAGATGATGGTTGTGAGTTGGCATCCTTGCCGTGTTGCTGTCGTTGTGGTAGTAGTGGTCATAACTACTATACACTTTTTTTCTTCTGTCTGGCATTTCGGGCGTTCCGCTCCTGTAGTTGGCACTTTTGTTTGAATGGACGGTTTGTCTTCTGTTGATGTCCCTGCGGACGTTTTCGTAGATGTCTGTTTTGTTGAGTTCTATTTTCTGTTCCTTGATGTTCATTTTTATATATAATACTTTACAATTTTTTTGATGCTAAAGATTTCAATTTCTCTCTCGTCGCTTTGTTCTTTTCCTCTTTGGCTTTGTTGTAGGTGTCTCTGGCGGTCATTGCACTCTGTGGTTCTTCCTTCAGTTGCTTTACAAGGTCGTTTTTGAATGCCTCTGGGTCAAAAGGTGGTTTCGCCCTTGACGGTCTTACCCTTTTGGGCTTTGGCGCTGGTTGTGGTTTCTCTTGAACTGATGGTTCAATTATTTCTTCTGGTTTCTCCTCTTCTTTCGGTGCTTCTTCCTGTATTGGTTCTGGTATTGTTTCTTCCTTTGGTTCTTCATTATCAATCTCTTTTACGACTACCTCTGTCATATATTAATATTATAGATAATGTTTTATACTTTCAAAATCTCGTGCCTCAAATACGGTTTGTTCAATCCTTCCAGTTTGAAGGTTCTGTTTCCGACATCATCGTATTCTATCTTGGCGATTTTGTAGGATTGATTGCTCCACTTTGAGTTATACTCCTTCCTCTCGGTGTAGTTGTCTTTTTTCTTCTCAAAGACCTTGACCATATCATTCACTTTGACCTCTGGATATTTGCGAGTGTTCTTTTCCCTCCTTGTCAAATTCACCCTGACGTCCATATGGTTCTTGTCGTCGTGGGCATCCTTTGGTTTCATTTTGGTTGATGAATGGACGGTGTCGTTGTATTTATCTAACGCTTTGGACAACATAACAGTCCAACTACCACGATTAAACCTCACCCTGTCGTGTATCATATTCTTCATTGTCCTTATGAAACGCTCCACAACATTGGCGTGAGTTAGGGTGACGACGTGAGTGATGCCTTCTTTCTCAAAGAACTCTTTTACCCCTGTTTGGAAGGCACGGTCATTATCGCTATAAACGGACATTGGAAAACCCATTTTGTTGAAACTCTCTTTCATTGCCGATAATGTGATTGGTCCGGATTTTTCTTTCATAGGGACGACGTTTGCCAACTTGCTGAAGATGTCAATGACCACCAACCCGTATCTCGGTTCGTCGTTCTTGATGGGAATTTTCGTCTCTGGTTCTTTGGTAAGGGGTTTCATATCCATTATGTCAATTTGATATTCAAACCTTGCGAAGGGTGCGGTGTAGGAGTTTGAACCCCTGTATTTTCTAATCTGTTTGTTGGGCTGTTTCCTCATAAAGTTTTCCACATCCACCCTGTTGATGGTCTGGTCTTGTTCCTTGGCTTTCTTAAGGGTCTCATTGATTGAACCGAAGCCCGTTTCAAGATTGTAATAGACATTGCTTATGATGTCATCTCTTGATAGTCTCCTTGCCATATATTATAATATTAGATTTTTAAAATTATCAGCAATACTTAAAGAAGAATACCTATATATGATAAGAATAAGTAAGATGACTAACTTTGACTGTGGATGTCGTATAATGACAGATGTTATAACCCTGAATGGTAGAAACCAACCCAATTGGAACTACTTGCTCAAAACCTTCGTGAATGTTTGTGGCAAGTGCTACAAGAAGCAAATGAAATTCCAATATATGGAAAACAAACTTATGGAGATGGAAAAGCAACGAATGGAAATGTTTTTGGAAAATGAGGATGAAGAGGAAGACACATACTTTGACCTGACAGAGTTGAAGGAACATCTCAAAACCCTCCCACCCAATGAAAGATACAAAGTGAAGGATTTTGAGAGGTTAAGAAACCTCGCCAATGGACAAGACCCCAACGAAGGAATGAGTGAAATAGATATGGTCATAAGAGAACTGGAAGAGGAGGAAAGGGAAAATAAAAACCAACCCGAACCCGAAAACTGAACGAGCCCCCAAAAACTACTTAAAGGAAAAATGACTATATATAGTAAGAGGATGCTATTTACTTATAAAAACTGTGGATGTTGTAAGAAAGAAATGACTGACATTAAGGTTTATTGAACAACATTTTTCCTGCTGGAATTTGTGATGAGATATGTAATTACAACCTTCACTGTTCTAAATGTAAAGAGTTGAATGATAAGGAACGCAGATATATAACATTCAACTATCATTTTGACCATTTTGAAGAGAAAGAACTAACAAGAGTTGAAAAACAAATACATTTCTTTAAAACAAGGATGGAAAAATCACCTATCTATTTATCCAACACCGACCGAACAAATGTAAGAATAATGAAGAGAGAAATAGATGCTTTAATGGACACCTATAAACTGAAGGTAGAATTTCAAAAAGATAAGATATATCTTCAAGCGATTAAGTCTTATGTCAAAAACCATTGGAAATACACTTATCATATTCTAAAGAACTTTCACGACCTTAATTTCATCAATCACAGTAAGCAACGAAGATGCTGGTGGTTTCCTAATGTTGAACGAACTTTTATGTTTAGAAACAGGGAGTTCAAGATAAAAGACATTTTGGAAATTTTCTTGCGTGAATACACCGAAGAACTGTTCAATGGTTATGAGAAATATTTGAACCCAGAAGAAATAAAAGAGCACCTACAAAAAGTGATAAATACTTAAAGAAAAAATACTTATATATAATAAGAGAAAATGAGTAGAGCAAAAATTGAGGTTATAGATACAGGGAACATTGGAATATATGCTGACTTTGGTAGTGATAGTGAGGATGATGATTGGGAAAGAAAAGAAATAGAAAAAGAAGATGAAGAGATTAGAGACTTCGTAAGATGTCATCCTATGCCTTCACCAGATGATGAGGAAGGAGACAAGTTGTGGAAGAAAGTAATTGATAGGATGAAAGATAATGAAGGAGTAAATGGAATGATAATATATTCGTTCGTAAGATTTGACATTATGAAAAAGATGTATGAAAACTTAACTGAAAAAAAAATCATCATTGATTGTGGAAAGGAACTCAACCGTGATGGTGAATTCAACGCTATGATTATCAACCTAACTCTTTTGTCAATAGCGATGGATGAACTGAATGATACAAACAAACCTTGCTTATCACAAATGAGAGTAATTGAACACTGGTGGGATGGAATAGGAACGTGGAAAGCATAAATGATTAATTCATAATATCTTAACAAAATATATTATGAAGTAATCACCTGCCCAAACACAAACAAAAACCACAACAGTCTAAACAAATCCTACCCCCATTCAATCCAAACATCAACAGTGAAAGTTAGGGGCAAAATAGTCCCAAAACCCCCACCACATAAAACATCAAAGATAAGGAAGAAACATTGAACAATAACATAAAAACCATAACAGGGGACATATTAACATAACTTGTCCCAGTATCCCCCTTTTACCATTTTTTCCCCCTAATAACGTTCGTGTTCAACTGTATACACAAAGCATTGGGGCGACCAAACACGTTCTCCCAATATATATATATTATACATATATCCGCAGGTTCTATTACTACATTGTTCTACCTCGTTGGTTTCCTTGAGTTTTCTGTTCAGTTTCTGCGAGATCATCCTGTAGCCACCAGAGAGCACCAGACACTAAGGGGCTCTATGACCGCGGGTCTTCCTCATGAGAACAGCGGCATATTGAATGAGAAGGTGCAGGAGATCCGTTGGAAATGTGAATGGAAATGAGCTTTCTCACAATTCGATGTGCTTTGGAAATCTTTGGAAACCATATGGCAGGATATTGTAGTTGTGTCAAATGATGTTGATCTTGGGAAGTGATTTTAGATTTGACAGCAATGTGGACACATTTGGACACGCAGAATGATGGAATGCAGTGCGATGCGAGGACGAATTTCTTCATCGGCTCACTGCCGAGATCATGCATACAAAACCTGACCGCACTGAACTCTTCATTGCTGCAGGCAGGGTTGTGGTGCTGAAATTGGATCCAAGATCCAAGAAAAGATTGAAACACTCCAGAAACATCCAGCAAAAGAATGTCGGATATGTTGGCCATTGCTGGTTTTCCTGGTTCCAGTGGTGCAAGGCATCGCTGCCGTGATGGGCTGCCTCGGTGGCTTGGCGCTCGGGCTTATGCGGAAGAGGTGAACCGTTATTTGCTGCTTGGTATCGCACTGAAATTTGCCAATTTGATGAAATTGGATGCAGTTTTCCTTTGCGCCTCGAGTGCTTCTTGGTAGCTGGCACCTGACAGTCAAGGTTCTTTGGAGCTATCCTTTGTTTCTTAGATGTGGGACCATTTGGATCAAGCCCGAAGGATGCAGCAGCACAAGACTCTGCTGCTGGCTCTCGAAATGCTTTTCTGTCCCCGGACTTAAATCGAACTCGATTGTGATGTTTCACCATTGCTCAGGGAAAAAGAGGCAATGCAGAGCTCCGTTTGACATTTTGTGGATAAATAATGATAAAATATGATAAATAGGTATATAATTGTATAATATTGGACATGTAACATCAAGCTGCCATGAGTTACTTACACCTACAACCTGAAATGCACATTTGCAAATGCAGGCTCTGGAAGCAGAGCGACAGAGACAGATCTTGGAGGTGAGCGCCTGTAGCCACTCAAGCCACTCTTCATTGCGGGTCAAACGATGTTTGGTCAAATCGCAGGGGTCGCAAGATTTCAGACTTGCAACCTACTCAATTAGTGACACATCAAATCAATAAACATCCATAAACACATATTCATGGGCACAACAGGCAATAAAAGATAAGAACATTGATAGGAAAGATCGCTGTCTTTTGGTAAGCTGGTTGAGATGTGCTCGAAAGAATGGCGGATAGGCTGGCTTTCTACAGAGACTTGCTGGCGCTGAGCGGGAACGGGACAACTTGCAGGTTGGTTGGCTGTCCAGCGGTGTTTGTGATACCTCATTGAGGAAGGGCTTTGGTTCTCTGAATTAAGCCAATTTAATGTCAGTTGTGGATGTGCATAATATTGCATAATGATATAATGTACAATAGTAACCAATGATAAACAATGATATACAATAATCATTCAATAATCACAAAATTTTTATCTGCAACCAGCAACCCATTCAGGTCATGAGATCATTCCGCAAGGCCCAGGTTGACTACGCAGTCTACGATGCCCGGAGAGAGAAGGACTTGATGGAGGCACGCCTGCGCGGGGAGCTGGATGATGCTCAACACCAACAAGAAATTCAGCAGGTCAGCAGCTTATGGAGGGCTTACGGATGGCGAAAGCTTGCAGTTGTTTTTCTACATTTTTGTTTATAAACATTTATAAACATACTTGCATCAAGGGCTTGATAGATTCTCTTGATCTTGAATGAAAGAAGTTGCTCGCTCTCCCCCCTGTCTCACTCTCTCTTAGGCAAAAGCCTTTGCCTTGGCACAGGATGCGGAAAGAATGCGAGAGATTGATCAGGTTCACGACACCTTGTGCTTTTCATTTCTGATATTTCTGTTGTTTGTACATGGTTGTACCTCCTACATTCTTAATCAGGCAAAGAATTCACAGATGTTTCAGGGTACCCTTTGCCTTTGAGCTGCCATTTGGACTTACCAGTAGTGACCAACTTGGAACGCTGTTTTGGCCGAAGAATGCAGGTAACAGGGGTCAGCAAGCGTATGCTTGGAATCTGTGGGCATCCAGCTCTGCTAGCACGCTGCAAGGCTCACGTGGACAACAGGGTCCTGGATATTCAGAGGGAAAAGGACTTGATGGAGGTGCCGGCCAAACTGTTTGCCTGTGCATGTGAGACCCGCCCAGTGGCACAGGCACGCCTGCGTGGAGAACTGGATGATGCTCAGCACCAACGGCAATTCCAGGAGGCCTTTCTACCTTAGTGAGCTTTTCTTTTTTCAAACTGCCTAAAAGAAAAACCAAAGAAACCATACTTAAGTTTCACCACAATCTTGAGACTCAGCGCGGCACAACGGATTGTAATGTTGCAAAGAAATTGCTCTTGGGGAAAATTGAAAGGACTGTACACAGTTGGCATTCATTTTTTAGTTGGTACAGTGGAATGCTCAAGTCGTGCCTAAAATTTGGAAATCATTGTAAATAGCTGGGGAGCACTTGATTTGGAAAAGTCGTGCCTTTTTTAGTAAAACGCATAGGAATTGCAATGTTTTGTTGGATTTGGTCTTTGGAATAGTTTTTGTTAATAAATCTTGCGTTTAGGTTGTGCTTAGCATCAAGGGTACCTTTTCCATATTGTTAATAAATCTTGCGTTTAGGTTGTGTTTAGCATCAAGAGTACCTTTTCCATATTGTTAATAAATCTTGTGCTTTTCACTTTTCACTTTTCACTGCGTGCTCAACGCGGCATTGTGGCACTTCAGCGTGTTGCTTGAGATGGAGGTGAGAAGGGTCATTGTTGTGTCTTCGTGTCGGTTTTAGTTTCTTATGTGGTTCCGCGGGCGGGTGGGCAGAGAGCCTTTCTTGTTATTTTTTGACGTCGTTTGCTACGTTGTTCGGACGTCGTTCGGCACGTCGTGGTTTCAAAAATAGGAAACCTATAGGAGAGGTTGGTTGTTGTGAATCACGGATGGCAGAGCGAAGCCACTGATGGACCGAGAGCAGCAAAGCGAAAAAAGTCAGCGGACCGAAGCGGCAAGCATTTCTCAACCCCAGAAACATGAACGGTAGAATGCAACTGTAGACGGATTTTTGCGAACATTTGATTTTCCCAAGTGTGGAAACATTCTTCTTATACATACGCGATTCCATGGTGTTTTAAGATTTGGGCATGACTTAGGCATGAGTTTCTTGAAACAGCGATTCCATAGTGATTTACTAGCAAGTTTTGACCCAGGCATGAGTTAGGCATGAGTTTGTCGTTTGACTGTAGAATCTAATGGCAGTCAGTTTCTTCACGGCTGTCTTATGACGGTTTACAGTTTACATGGTTTTGCGAACTCCACTTCACAATTCGTTGAAGCTCACATGCAGGCAAGGCACGCTGCAGCTCTGCAAGACGAGCTAAGACATAGAGAAGCTGAAGAGGTGCTTTCCACCTAATTATAGAACCTTTACACGGCAAGAACAACTGAGTTTTTGTGGCAGAGTCCTTCTGGATCTGATCCGGACAGGCAAAGATGCAGGACGGCATGCGAAGGCCTGGGCAACTTTTACAGATCAGATCAGGCATGACTCCCATGGCTACTGCAGGCAGGAAGCAGCAGCTGAGCAGAGCCGCGCGGCGCACCTGGCTAAGATGCAGACAAGATCAGACAAGATCAGACGATGAAAGATCCAACTGAAATCCAACTGAACAAATTGATGCCACAACAGCAGTTGGTGAGGCTGGAGGAGCAGCTTCAGCAAGAACACGCAGCGCGCCAAGCAGAGCAACAAGAACACCAACGTCGGATTGCTGAAATGGAGCAACAGGTCGCAGCTGCTCAGGCCGGATGGAATGATGGTCATTGCTGCATGCCGTTGCACTTCCTTGCGCACGACTGCTCCATTTTCTGCACATTCTGATATATTCTGATCTAGCTTGACAACTTTAGTATACTGAGTTACATCCAGATTTTGACAGATCAAAGATATCGAAAGATCAGCCTCAGGATGAAGGAGAAAGAGAGCGCGCCAGAGCTTTCGATCTCCAGGCATGAGAGTTTCGAGGTTAATTTTGGCGATTACTTGATACTGTATGATATCACCACATATTGGCCATACTTGTTCCTCCTGACAGACAGCCAGTTGGAATTTGACAGCAAAGAATCGTTTAATGAGCAAATTGTGCAATTTCCTTCAAAAGGGCTGAGATTGTAAAGACTCAAACATCTCGAAAAATGACAAGCTTTTGGAATCTCTTGGAATTTCCCTACGTCAGGAAACAGTGAAATCATGTAGTGCAATCATGAATTGACCAGCTTTTGCTCGCAGGCTGCCATTGAAAACTTGATGACAGCGCAGGCCCACCTATGCACGGAACTTTGCCATGTGTATAGAATAGTCCGAGTCAAGTTTGATTCGATACAGAACAATATGAGGTCACTTCAACAAAGAAATAATAAAGTTGCATTTGCACAAGTTTGCAGTACTGCGTGCCATGCTTTACTATATTTACGAGGAGATACGCGGAGCTGAAGAACGCTGGCGCATCCAACAAGAGGCAATTTCGATCCAGCCATTCCAAGTCTAGAATAGTAGTTCAACATAGTTCAATAGCCAATCAACAGCCATTGATCTACAATTCCGACCTCTGCCCATTTATCCCTTGCCTTACATTCGTGGACGTGCCATGTTTGGAAACGATGCTCTTGTTGCAAAGTAAGAGTGATGATCTCGATTTCAACCTGAGTTCTTGACCAAAGAGCAACACAATGCAAACTTGTTTGATTTCAGATTGTCGCGGTTTTGACCCAGTTTCATTGGATTTTGTGCCTGGAACACTTTTTTAGGCAGCTTGGGTTCGCTACAACACCTGGAGAATTGCACACCTTTTAACTTTTTCAAGTCTTTCTGATAGATGGCACTTGTTTAGACAGTTGCCAAGTTCATGAATAGAAATGGCCAGGAGAACCGCGAAGCTTTGCTCCACTTGCTGGATGAGGCAGGACCATTGCCCGATGACCTAGTGGGAGACACGAGGTTCCTGTGAAAAACGGGCGGCCCAAATTATTCCTCAAATTGCCATGTTTGGAAGGAATTTGAAGGAATCAACTTGTTTGATATTGTTTGTAGTTTCGGCATTTCTCGCCATACTTGCCATACCTGTACAACTTGAACACACGAACTGCCAAGACACATCAAGACACAACGTTCAACTTGCCGCTCTGTTCGTTGGCTCACAGGAGATCTAAGATATCTAAGGCCAGGTTTGTGACCTGCCATGGCGGAGATGACGGAGTCGACACCACTTGACCCCGCTCCGCAGGACAGGTCTTGTCAATTCTCGTCATACTGTAGATATCTGTAGATCTTGAGACAGCGCCAGGTGCACTGGTTGCATCACTGCAAACAGCTTGAATCAGCTTGAAAGCAAGAAACTGGGCAGATCTGGGCAGTTTGAAGCATTTTGAAGCGGCCAGGAGTTGGCAGGGATACACGACGTTGCTGTACGAAATGGCTTTGTCCGCAAAGTCTTCAGCATTTTGACGGTCCAGCTCTTGATCACCACGGCCATTGCAGCATCGCAGCTCGGCGTTGCCAGAGTTGCTCCTGATATCTTGTGATATCTCCTGATTGATACAGTACTTGCACAAAAAATGGCAATGATCCGAAGACTTCTTTGATACGTGAAGAATCTGGGATTTTAGGATCGTGAAGAGTGGCGATAAACTCATGCGAACGCATCCAAGTATGGTTGGGTCTCTACCTCAGTGTGAGCAGCCGCCGAAAGATACGGGAATTCATGGAATTCTTATGTGTTTATTGTGCAGTTTTTTTTTCTTATCATGCTGAATAAGCATGCAACATCATGCAACCATTGTCAGAAGCAATGTTTTTTTGGGTGAGGTCTCTGATGTTGGTCTCGGTTTTCGGAGCCCTTGCCTTGAGCTGCGTCTTCGCATGTTGTAGGGAACCCCGGTGCATGGCAGGTAAAAAACCTCAGCGCTTGGCAGCTTCGCAGCTTCACAGCTTCGATGAAAACCGAGGTCCTGGCGTCATGAGGCAAAGCCCCACGAACTATATGCTGCTGATCCTCTACACACTTGCGGTCACTACACTGGAAATTAATTGTATTTTGATGTGTTTTGATGTATTTTGTAAAGAGACAATCAGGTACAATTCATATTTGTTGTGCATGTTTGCTTTTGGGGTGCAGTATATGCTTCGTTCATTCGGATGTCCGGATTGTCCATCTACCCCAAAAATTCTTCGGCAATGCTGCTCAAATGGATTCACACGGCATAGAATTGTGAGGGAAGGCCAGAAGAGTTCGATTCTGAAATTGCAGTGTTTTCCTTCTTTCCAATGCACATTAGACACTTCATGATACTTCAGTTGTTTTCTCCGAGGAAGCATGCTTGGTAGGTTTCTTTGCGTTGCAGTACACTGTTAGAACCTCAGAGCGAAAGCATCCTGTGCTACAGCGGGCAAGCTGAGATACAGTGCCGAAAAGGTTTTTGAAATTCAAGATTGGTATCAATATACTGCAATAACGACCAGTTCTTTAATGCTTCTCAGTTTGCGAGGCACAGTCTGTACTGGTCACCTTTGCGATCACCGTCGTCATTGTGCTTGCACTGACCATCTTTGCATGTCAGACGAAGTACGACTTTACAGGCTGGAAGACAGCGATGTCTTCAAAAGAATGGTGAATAGTGCATGAAGATGGATGAAGTGGATTCTGGATGTGTGGAGTAGCAGAAACATTCAGCCAGCAGCTAGTGCAATGGCAAGGGATTGATTAGGATGGAAATCATAAACCGATAGAAAAACTGAAAAAGTGTAAACGTTTGTAACTCTAGTGATCAGTAGTGATGTTGCATGGCTCCATCAAAAAGTGGGGCACCAGATGCGAAGTGTATGATCATTGGACGGCCCAGGTCTTTTGCCCTATTTCTTTGTGGCAACCCTGTGCCTCTTTGGCAGCTCGGCCAGCATAGGCCTTCCAGGCAAAGTCCAGCTGGAGCTCCCATTTTGATCATTTTGATTTTGTCTCATCCTACTTCGCGTGCCAAGGCTTTGGCATTGCACTCAGCATTGCATCAAGCTTGGGTGCTTCTTCTTCGGGAGCTTTCAGGTAGCATGTCGTGTCCAGCAATTTTGCGTACCAGTTTGTGTACCAGTCATTGCCATAGCTGATTGATGATGCGACATGTTAATCAAACACTTGTCTCTCTGTGTGTGCCTGTCAATGGCAATGGATATGATACATTGGAAATACATTTTCCACCACCGTATGTAGGAAGCACATCCACAAAACTGCAATATTAGTATTAGTTCAGCTTTGCAACCCGAGCAACTGATAAAGAATCGAGACTCAGATCATGCAATATGCGAGAATTTACCATGGTTATCCTGCGAACAAGTTTCGAATGAACCACTCAATTTGTCCAGCTTTTTACTTCCTACTCGCATTGTATCCCCAACCCACCTGCATCTACTTGAAAAGCAGATGCCGGCATGCTTGTGAATTACATGAATATGTAATATTTGGACATATATGGTCAGAATATCTATTGCGAACCCGTACTTGTACTGCCAAACTGATCAAACTTTGCTGCGTGCAGCCGACAGGCCACTCTATTTGATGTACGCAGCTGGTGGAGCGCTCATATTTTCAGGCCTGGCCCTGCTTTGAAGGGCTGATGAATGAAGCAGCCATTGACTACGGTATCACAAAAGGAGGTAGCTAAGCTGCAGAGCAGCTCAAGAGTAATTTGCAATCATCCTCCATGGGTTCTCAGGGATTACATAGCATATTAACATATTATAACAATTTATAACATAATACAACATATATTATATAAATTGAAGCTTGAAATCATGTGGAATCCAATCCACTCTTGCCATGGGTTGCGCTTAGTATCCTGACGACACGTCCAGTTGGTGCAGGGAAACCAACGGACAAAAATAATTAATAAGTAGCCCGGGCCTGATTATTGAGACAAGAGCAGGATGGAGTAGGAACATGATATTTGTTGCAAACCAATATTATACAGATCACGTATGATATTTCTTGCATCTGTCAGAATTTGGCAGTGTGTTTGCCGAGGATTGGGGTAAAACCAGCACGAGTGTATCGCAGTTGTATTGCAATTTGCACCTGCCCATGGACTCAAAATAGATTTCTTTTGATATCCATTGCGCCTGGCGACTTTGACGGCAGGATACATTGTACTAGACACGCAGTTGATCGTGGGTGGCAAACATGCCAAATATCGCTTCTGTATCGATGACTACTGCATGGAGCGGGCCTTAGTTTGAGTGAACCCATCGTGAACTTGTTTACACTCAAGGTCCTTTTGAACATCGACTAATTGGTGCAGTTGGCAATCCGTTGTGATGTGTAGTGATTCATTCCAGTGAATTCAGTGCATTGATCAAGCCATGGCAAAGACTGGCAAGCGGAAAAGCACTGCTAGATATTCCGAGATATTCCAAGGCTGCCATTACGATCTATGTGGACATTGTGAATCTCTTCCTATTCCTCTTGGAGCTCTTTGGAGATCGCCGACGGTGAACTACAGCACCGTAGCGTCGACAAGTTGTTGCCAAGATCAACGAAGACATCATGTGAAGTGCACACAGAACAGGCAGTAAAAAGGTGTGAAAACAGTGTGCAAATGGAGTGAACATAGTATCAGAAAGCCTTGGTTTGATTGGTATTGATGCTACATGCTTGCATATTCTTACCAAAGTCTGCCAATTCATCAGGCGGACACCTTTAGAGCCTCAGCATATATTTGAATTCAGCATATTGAGCCTTGTAGTCTTGTGATGTCTTGTGCAGTTGTGTCAATGTAGCATATGTAGCATCACACGCAGATCATCAGGATGATCCGCGCTGCACCCATCTCTATGTTCAGTCACCAAATCCATGTTTCTCCAAACAATTAAATTGAGCGACAATCGCCAAAGCTTGGCTCAAGTGTGTGGCTTTCACTGCGGCACCAATTTCGAGCAAAATGAGTCAGAAAAACGATACCAGGTTGGGTGCTTACATGAAATGTTGTCGATTTGCACTCTCTTTGACAAACTTTCTAAGATTATGTAAGACTTCTTTTTCCTGGATAAGCACGACCATGTCTTGATTTCTCTGCCTCCTTCCATCTTGCCCTTGAGCACCTCTTGTCTGTATCCAAAGATGTGTCAAGTTTCAACAGGTTCTCTGATCATGCTATTTGCATGCAAATCTCTGCCTTTGCAGGCGGCCATATGATCCAGTCGAGACCAATGAGCCAGAGCCCGATAGGAGACCAATGGCATCTTGGCTCATTTGCCCACTTCTTTCAGTGTTTGCGAAGCATTTCTGTACGTTGTTCAAAGTTGAGGAACTGAGCGCGATCACCGACATACATGTGCGACACGGCTTCATCCGCAAGGCCAAACATTACAGGTATATGTGATTGCATGTGATTGCATGTGTTTGCACATGTTTCATGGCTGTGATTGTGCCACTAGCTTCATGATGGAGTTTGCAAGATTTTGCAAGACTTTTCATGTTGATGTGGGTCCGCTGGTTCACTGTGCCAGGTGTTTGCGATTCTGGCGGTACAGCTCATTGCCACAACGGTAATTGCAGGGCTGACACTTGGAGAGCTATCCCATTCTTGTTACTGTAGATCTTGTTAGTATCAGAATCCGTTAATTATATCCCATTATATATATAATATAATATATATAATACATGCTATGTATATATATGATATACATTATATATATATATACAATATGGAACATCTCGCCATTTATTGATTTGAGTCCAATTTTTGACTGTACTCGTCCGATGTGGGGGATCTCATGCCTCGTGCTGCGAGCTGAGGACGTTCCAGGCATTCGCGGGTGTCGACCAAAGGAACCCTCCGGCTTCTATGACGCCGCTTGTCTAAAAGTCTAACATGATAATATGGGTATGGATCAATACGTATACATATATACATACCATTTTTAGGGGGATGAACATCCATTTACCAGCTATTTTGATGTTCACCCGGGGGATAGGGTTTTGACCTTCTCCAACTTTGAGACACCAGGCAACTAATCATCTTTGCCTTAAAGATGTGATAGCTGGTGGGCCACGTTTGATTTTTTCGGTTGTTGGTGCAGTACTTGATAGAAATAAAACAGCTCGATTTCCACCCCGTGGACTTGACAGACCCATTGAATCGGGATATAATATGATGCGATGTATATGTGTATATTATATATAATATATACAGTATATATATACTGTATATATATATAAGACTAGATTAATATACTTTATGTATATGTATATATATATTATATACACGTACATATTTGTGTATACGCATAATATACACACTACACTATATGCAATCTACTCATTATGAATTATGATCTTATGATCAGCGGCCAGGATCTTGCAGGCTCTCTCCCTCTGTGCCAGCATCGGCACCATTGGTGTTTTGATGTGTTGCCCACAGCTCAGATTGCAGCAGAGTCGCAAAATTCTCAGTGACTCACAGCGACAGCGATGGGATCTGAGGCCCGAACGTCATGCGAGAGTTCCCCAGGAATTACATTGTTCTGGGAATTTTCACCCTTGGAGATGCTCGTTGTGAAAACTATACTGCGGTGATTTTTGCCGAAACGGCATGTGTAGAATGGATCTGAAAAATACGTTCCTGGAGATTCACTATTCATGGCTGAGGAAGCTGTACTCGTTGGCATTGTCTGCTCGCAGTATACGGTGCGCAACCTGGACAGATGGATACACATGGTGAGTTTCTCTGAGCAAGACTCCCTCTCTGTCTCTGTCCTTGGAAAGACCATCCATCAACCACAGCTGAGGATTCCGAAGTGCTGATTTAAAAACCTATATATTGCCCTGTACATGGTTTGTTGCTTGAGTCTTTTGCAATTCTTGAACTGTTACTGGGAAGAAAAGGATTCTTATAGCTTTGTCATTTTGTTCCCCATCTGCAGGCTCAATCTGTTCTGGTGGCTTTCGGTCTTACTGCCTTCGTGGTCACTGCCCTCATGCTGTTTGCCTGCCAGACAAAGTATGACTTCACAGGCTTGGCATCGAGACCCCAAAGCTGTAAGATCTTGCCAAATTTCAGGATAGATACAATAGATAGATACATACTATAATTATATATATATATAGTATTATATATGTATGCATATAAACATACACATGATGTAACTCTTGTGTGCGGTGCAACAAACAAAACATGGAGACCTATGGAGACCTATGGAGACCTATGGAGACCTATGGAGACAAATCCACAAATCCACGGCAAGACAGCTTCGCCAAACAGAAGTGAGACGTCGCTGGGATGATTGGTTATTTGCTTCAAGCTCTTTTCAATGCAGGTCTTGCACCATACTTCTACATTGCTCTCCTGATTTTGACAGGCACGCCAAACGAAGACAACGCTTGAACATCTCTAAAATACGCGAAAGCAACGGTGCATGCACTCGGCACCAGAAAAGTATGTTCATGACTGGTTGCACAGCAGTGTCCCAAGAAGCTGTGAGCACTTAGTCAACGATCATCATCTCACGATTTTGGTTGCACGTTCTCTGCAGCGCCACAAGGTATGAGCTTGGTCTTTTGTTTTGCCAGCATGTTCGGTGCCAGCCAGACGGGAGCCTTCAGGCAAGACCCAGAGCATAGGGTGGGAAACCCAGAGGCAGGCTCTCTATTCCTTTTCCTCAATTCTGATTTGGAGGTTCACAAAGGTTCACCTCACAGTTTCTCCACTTCCCCACCTCAAGCGATGTTTCCATCCAGTTTGCAGGAATCTGTACTTGCTCTATGCTGGATTTGGCGCATTGCTGTTTTCAGGCGGACGTACAGTGGAGAAACAACAGGCACAGTAGGTATAGACATGTATAGACACTGGTACCCGTGTATAGACGATATTTTTCCATTGATTGACACAACTGGAGGCAACCGGATCGAGGGGTCAACTCCTTGAACCATCCGCCCAACTCAAGTGATAGATAGATAGTAATTGCTCATCATTCTTTGCCAGAGATGTTTCTCCACAATATTTAAGTTTTTCGCATTGTTTGCACTCAAGCTCCTGCCAACCTCTTTCTTTGGTTCCCACAAGATTATCAAGATGAGTGCTGGTTTGTCCCAAGCATACTTCCAAAGATGCATCTTAAAGATGGGTGACCGATTTGGTATATTTGGTTCTCGAAAAGTCTTTGATATGTCTTGTTTAATAGATTTAAACAAATGCGCCAACGTTTGTGCATGTGCCACACTCGAGAAGCATGATTGGTCGTCCCGCTTGTATAAGTCCTAGAGTTCCGATTTTTTCAAGCGAGATATGAAATGATACGAACCTATTCAGTTGCTTGTGTTCTTGCAAGCCATACCTGAAGGATACATTGTCCTGGACACTCAGCTCATTATTGGCGGGAAGAATGCGCAAATGCAGATTGGCATTGATGACTACTGCCTGGCCGCGAGCTCAGATTGTACACAGAGATTAGTTGGTCATTTGCTTTCATCATAATATTGACATCCACAGCGCGTGTTGCTAACATTGTCTGGGAATGAGGAATATCTACTGCAAATCCGTCCATTCATGATTCTTCATGTCTAGTCTACCAACCAGATCTGCTGCGCGAATTTTGTGAATATTTCATGGAAGACTAGCTGGCTAGCTTGCACAGCTGCAGAGTTCCTTAGGCAGCCATGAATATCTACCTGGACATTGTACAGCTCTTCTTGTACATACTTTCCCTGTTGGGGGACCGAAACGATTGACCTATCGCAGTCCAGTTCGATAGCAGCGTCAGTACCACGATCTCCATATTGTCACTTAAAAGAAACATCTCACCAGGTTGCAATGTTCAACCGCAGGGTTGGCAGATACATTTGGTCATATCGATTTATAATCGAATCATATCCATTATACTGTAAATACTTTTTCAAACAACACTGTTTGTGATGGCAATACTATCAATACTGAGTTCAATACTGGTTGTGTCACCAGCCTGGAGAGTCAGCGAAGTCGGGCTGCTCCAGAGCGAGCAAGTGTGTGCAGCCTGTGCGGCCCTTGCCTCGCCCGCCTGCGGGAAGTTCTGTTATTCATGGGCACTGTAGTGACTGCAGTGGTTGGAATCCGGTTGCAATACCAGAACTCACTGAAATGATAGAATATCAATGAATATCAATATGTTTAGAGGTTTAGTATGGTTTAGTGATGTTGACGATTGTTGACATGTATCATGATGTGAAGCTTTGGGTGCGGCAGAGCAGCGGCGAGGACGTTCAGATGTTTACAATGTAGATTGAAATCATTCGACCGACACGACGGAGTCCTCCAAGGTTCCAAACCCGACACATCCCAACGGAGTCCACCTCCGTGTTTGACCACATGCTGTTGTATTGTGAATGTATTGTGAATCAATGCTTTCACATATGACACATATGACTGTTAACATGCTGAAACTTCTCCAGATTGGCCACTACCTGCTTGTAGACACATGACTCAGATGACTCAGATGACTCAGATGACTCAGATGACTCAGATGACTCAGATGACTCTCGTGATCGGATGTATATAGCTGCTGCATTTTGCTCAGAGCCAGCTGCGGCACATGCAGCTTACAGACTGAGCTGGCTGGAGCTGAGAAAAATGCCGAGCTTTGCGAAGTTCTAAGAGATGAGATGTCCACCTTAAAGCCAAAGATACAGTCAAGCATGGTTCGCTACACAGCAAAGTGCAGGTGTAATGGGAGGGAAAACATGGGAAAAAACTGCATCAAGCAGCCGAACTTCACTTTTTGCATGATTTTTCCACAAATCATTTGCTGTTGGACTGATGTGACTGATGGATGCATTACTGAACCAGTCAGTCATCTTTGCCAGCATTCACTCAAACGAAACACCTTAACGACAGGTGGAGACACAACGCGCCAGGTTGCAGGCGATGGGCTGTTGATATTGCCAGTGGCATCCAGTGGCTACAATCGTAATTTGCCGGTCTAAGAGTCGCCTGAGTCGCCTGTCTTGTTCTTGATCCATAGCGGCCATAGCGTATGGTGTGAGAGGCAGAGGTGAACGAGTTGCAAGCTAGCTACGTGAGCTTGGAGGCAGATGTGGATGCCCATGGGAGGTTGATCAGACCCACAAGTGACACCCAAGCATTTGATGCACACATTTGATGCTCAGCTTGGCAACTTGTTTGCTTTCCTACAGGCTGAGGCTGATGCTGAGCGGTCGAAGAACCAGATTGCTGAGCAGACTCTGCAGGAACAGATCATGATGCATGTCGCATCATCCAGACATTGCTTTCGCTTCAAACGTAATTTTTGATCATCCCCTTTGGAGCATTGCGACCCTTGCAGCCAGGAGCGAGATATCCGTGTGGCTGACCTGATCAAGGAGCTTTTGCGAGACTTCTGTGCGCGCTGCGCTTCTGTGCGCTTCGCAACGACTTTGTTCTTTTATCGTCCCATGTACAGAATCTGTCCCCTGTCAAGTCGCTGGATCTTTGGGACTGCGAGGACATTCAGAAGTATCGATCAGAGCACCGGGCATTGAAAGATCAGGTCTTTGCCTCGATAACTCTTGATACTCTTGAAGGATAGTGTGGAACAGTGCAGCGCCTTGTTTGCTCCTTCGTTAAAACGACATGATATCTTACACAGGCCTTGGAGCTCGGGGAACAGCTTTCTGAACTTGAGAAGGCAGGTCCAGTTTTGCAAGTAAGACAAAGCAGTAGAATCTCTCAAATTCTGCAGTCTGTCAGTTTGGAATCATGGAGACTTTGGTCTAGACACAGAAGGAGTCAGCCAGCTGATGTTATCGTAGGTTATCTAAATATCATTAAATATCTGCAACTAGGCGATTCATGCCGTTTGATTGCTCTCCCAGGAGCGAGATTTGCGTGAAGCAGAATTGATGGCGGACTCTTGGCTGACTTACATCTCATTTCGCTCCACTACAAAGCGTCTTGGACCCACCAGACATTCCGTTTCTTTAAGCCCCGGCATTGTTTACAGAGACAAGCACAGCACCCACTGCACGAATCGAGTCAATCAATGTCACTTATATATCGATTGTCAATTCTGAGGACATTCAGAAGCTGCAATCAGAGAATGATGCTCTGAACGATGAGGCCTTTGATAGACCTGTCTGTAAAAGCCTTAAATGAACCTGTCCGCATTTGTCTCTCCTGCCATAAATCTGCTCATTTCTGCGCTCTTTTGCTTGCTCTTGAAGGCATTTGAGCTCGCAGAACAACTCACAGAGCTCGGAAAGGCGTTTTAGTGGTACTTGCAACATGACAAGCTGCAAAGAAGCACCTGCTGTGTGTCTTCAATCAAGGATACAGAGACCCAATACATCCCAATACTCTTGGCCTCTTTGCACTTTTCAACTCAGGCGCTTGTGAAGCAACGTGCTACCTTGTGGCAATTGAACCGTTCTATGCTTTCTGCATAACACCAGCCAGGAGCGATGGTTGCTGTCTTTGGATGCGCGGTTGGAAGAGGACTAAGATGAAGTACACAGGTGTGCAACGATGTACCAATGTACATGTAATTGCATATGTAATTACCCATTATTGCGGCATGGCATGGTTTAGTAATGCTTAGGAATACTTAGTAATGTAATGTATAAATTCATTTTTCATAGGTTTCTGCCAGGCCCAAGTGCAGAGCTTTCAGACCGGAAAGATTCTGCGAGGAGCAGAGGAAAGCCTCTGAGCTTGAGGATCAGCTGCTGGAAGAAAGGCTGAGGTGGGTATGGTGGGTTTTAACATGTTTTAACAAACATAGAACGCCATGTCTTGGCTCGTATTTAATTAAGCTTCAAACTTAGGAGGAAACAACATGCACATCATGGGCACAATTTGCAAGAACATTTGTAGCGTTTGTAGTGTTTTGAATGAAGACCAATTAAATTTCTGCCAGCATATTGGTGATGGTCCCTGCATGTCCCCTAATGACATTGCTGCTGGACCCTTCAGGTGTGCTCAGAGACTTGAGGATATGTCCGAGCAAATGTTGGAAGAGAAGGCAACGATTTTTATTGATTTCATGGTTTGTCAATGTCAACTTCAGCCCTCATTATTTGCATTGGCATTATTTGGCATTGAAACAAGTGGACGTCTATGACATTCTATGACCGTCTATCGGAAGATATTTCCCCAAACTAGATCAAACTAGTGCAACTTGGGAAGAGGATGGAAGAGGGATATTCTTGGCATCAACCATTGAGCTCGGAAGGCCAAGAGTCTTGATCTTCGAACACCAGGCCCTGGACAGGAGACAGCTCCCGAAGGTAGCTGTGTATGTCTACCTGTTACGTGGTTCTTTGTGTGCAGTTCCTGGCTGAGAAGAAATTGCTTAGCTTCAGCAACGCTGTCAATCTGCTGAAGTTTTGTTTGATTCAGCGGCTCATTTTGGCATGGTTCCCAGGCACACCAATCTCTCATTGCCACTTTGTATTGTTACCTTCACTTTTTCGATTAATTGACCCTGGTACAAGTTGCCAAGCCCAGCAGCATGTTTGCTCAAACAATGGATATGGCAAGCCACATCAAGCCACTATGTGGGAGATTGGTGGCTTCCTCAAGCTAGTGCTGGCGAAGATAGCATTGAGACAGTACTCGTAGCAGCTTTGTAGCACAGTACTTGAGGGTTGAGAGACAACAAGGGGTGCTCTGTCTTGTTGTGCTTTGGCTTCCGCGCTGCCCAAGATTTGGCGTGGCTCGTTTTGATGTAAATGGTACCAAGGGCTGCTCAATATCCACACATGGCTCAAGTAATTTGTTGTTCGGTCCGCTGTGCCCGCTGTGCCCCTCATTTCAGAGTGTGTCGCCATGCCTTGCAGCCGAAAGTGCTTGGTATTGCTGACCTTGGCCCTGACGAGTCGTGCAGAGGACGCTGCTGGTCATTTGCGAGGCCCTTCGATAGAGGATGCCCCTGCGACCCCTTCGGCCCCTGCTGCCCCTGGGCTGACTGAGTTGATTGAGTTGCCAGATGCAAGTGGGTTGCCAGACACCCCAGGACCATACAAAGAAGTGCCAAGTGATGCTGATGCCGGAAAGCCAACAGCTGCTATGAAGGAATGGAGGTCCAAAGTTCCCAACGCCACTCATGGCAGTTTGGGCAGCTTGGTCTCGTTGCAAGCTTGGCAGGATTATCAGTTCTGCAATGTTCACCAGACAGGTTTCTTCTGCGATGGCCTTACTCGCATTCGTTGCTGCAAGTTGGAGGATGGCTATGCCAAGTGTGGTTCAACGGGAAACTCAAGCACTTGCGGAGCTGAGAAGCCAGAGAAGTCTGAGCAGCCTAAGCAGTCTGAGTCTTCCAAGCAGAAGGCCCTTTGGTTTTATCCTCCAGCTGGGTACCCTGCATATCCGGGATATCCCGGTGGCAGCGGTGGCTGGCACATTCACCAGGGCTGGCATGTCAGCAGCTATTGCCAATCGCATCATGTGGGCTCCTTTTGTCGCAGTCACAGTGTTATCCACTGCTGCAACGATTACGGGCACTATGTAGAGTGCAACTCTGCATTCTCTGATAGCGGACGCTGGTGTTAGTCAATTTAGGTCTTGAATCAATTGATATCTGATTTTGTAATTGACTGGATTGTAAAGTTCAGAGTTTCTTCCTTTGCAAGTCTCTTGCGCCTTTTGAGAGCCGACCTTGCAGCTGTACAGCACCTGTTAGTCGGTGGTTTTGTCACCTGACCTGAAGTGTGTCAAGGTGAACCTGGAAGAAGGGAACAGGTTGGAAAAAACACATGTTGAGATGCGTGTGATACATGCGCGTCATACGGGGAAGTTGTTTTAAAAAAAGCAGTCTGCTGGTACATGCTGGTACAGATCCAAAAGATCATTCCCGTCTCAAGGCCTCAAAGTCAAAGCAAGGGCTCCCTTTGCAGCCCTTCCACAGGCACGGCATTTGGGAGACATTGCACAGCTCCATAGCGTCATAAAGTCATAACGTCGTATGCAGTGGGTGCCAGTTCTTCAAAGACTCATGAACGCACAAGACTGTCTTGAAGCTGCCTATTCTGAACGGCTACCATTGGCTAGCATTGACTCTAACAAACAGTTTGATCAGTTTGTAACAGTCAAAAATGTTTGTTATTGTTGCAATAGTTAGTTTGCAACTATCATAGTAACTATCTGTATCTAATTGTAACAGTCACTAACCATTGGTTGATTTGTTGTTGGCGTCAATCGATGACGATGACCCTTTCGTCGCTACCTGAGGTCATTGAGTTCAGATCAAGGCCACTTCCTCGCCTCCAGCGTCGGAGGCACAAACTCTGTGGAAAGCTAGATCAGGGTCCAAGGTAGATCAAGGCACTAGACTATAAGATCTACAGTATAAGTACCTACATATATATAATATAATACTGTGTAGAGTAAAGATCTATAATTGCCTATAAGATGTATACTTGTACGACAAATTATGAAACGAAACTTTCGAGTTAGGGATGATTCGATCCACAATATCGGCACGCCACCTCACCCGACAGTCAACTCACTGTCTTACCATCTCACTATCCAATTTGCTCGCTATTTGGTCAAATTACTAGCTCAACACATCAGCAGATATGCACTGGAAGTTGCGCTATTTTTCTACATTTTCTACAAAGTGCGCGGAAATGCGGGAATGCATGGAAATGCTGTTCGCATCGATGATTGAGACTTGTTTTGCTGGGGGAGGTCAACCATTGAGTCCACCAAACCACCAATCACATCCATCCGTCAACCGGTCGTTCCATCAACCAACCCACCCACTAATCATCCAACCCATAATCAGTCGGAGAATCCGAGAATCAACCAGTTCTGGCAAGAGAGATACGACAGCTGCAGAAATCAGGTCATCGCGTGCCTGTAAGCTTTCCCGGCTTTCCCTTTCCAAAAGGCTATCCCTCTTGAGACTTCTGCCCCCCGGCTGCTGTGATGTGGACACACAGGCAGGCATGGCAAAGACAGCAGATTGCCGGTTTGCTTTGCGGAGCGTGCTCATATGCTGCTGTGCGGAGAGTCTCCAGGTCCAGCAAGGCACACTGCTCTAGTACTAGATGGTTCAAACAGGTTCAAACATGTTCAAACATGGCATTCGATGAATTTTGAATATTTTTGAGCGGTCCCATACCGGCACCGCTGAAAAATCATGAGAGTTGGAAGTCCAGCAGCTTCAACCAGGTTTCCGTATACATTACATTGAGCTGACACAAGTTGACCCACGTTGACCGACCGTCACTTTCCATTAGAAAGTGGGGGGAAATGACGGAGGCGCTTCGTGCTGAAATGAGTGACAGCTCTGAGATGCCGCGATTAGAGTTCCGGGATGAAGATCCTTGGCAGATGGTAAAATATGTTTGTCTGAAAATGGGAAACATGTTTTCCAATGATGGTCATTGGTACACTATTGGTACACTAATTTGATAATATATATAATAACTTATAATATTTGATATAGATTGATATAGGTTGTTCAACTTTGCGCGGTATCGGGAAAGCGGCAGATGTCTTTTTGATCCCAGGATCCCAGTTACACCATTGGTATCCTGGGCGACTTGCACTTGGACCCTCGCAACATGGAGGATTCTTTGCAAGGGCGCCTGCCTTGGCCTTAGATGATCTCAAAGAATAACTGTGATTTGTGATACTCATGGCAAGTTTGTGTGCAAGTTGCAACACGTCAAGGCAGATGGGGAAATACGGTGAAATGATCTGTTTGTTTGTTTTTCACTCATATAAAAGCTGACTCATCGCATTAGCATGCATTAGCGTACAGTATCAAACTGTGCAATCGTTGATTCCTCCACCATCTCAAGGCACATGAACAAGATTCTGCAAGACAAACCAAATGCATTTGTGGTTTCTCTTGGAGATCTTGGCGAGTCGTTGAAATGCGACGTGACTTTGCTGCAGATGCATTTCGCTCCTTGATCATCAACTCGACTTGCTATGACAGCTATGCCTCACAAATGCAGGGACCAGGAACTCTTGCAGTCTTACTCACCATGTCCATCCATTTTCGAGGATTCGAATCAGCTTTTTGCGGGCACCAGCGCATGTTTCAAGCTAGCCCGGGAATATCTTGATGGACCGAATCTGAGTTTGTCGCACAGCGCATTAAGCAGTGCCCGTTCTTCCAGCACTGTGTGGGACCCATTAGATTTATGAAGATGACATAAGATGACCACCTTGAGACCTGCAAGGTCTGGACTTTCCATATGCTGTCATTGGCGGGAACCATGACCTGGAGGCCGGGCATTTCACTGGGCAACCCGACTGACAATCGGCAGCAATAACAAACATAAACCGATAATAATTGATATAAATCGCATCATACTGGGATTCTTGCGCTTCACGAATCACGAATTTCGCCTCGGAGGGCATCGATGAATTTGGAAAAAATGAGGAGAATCTTCGGGCATTCTTGAAGATCCTGGGGAAGGAGACTTGGACTTTGGTTCATGAGCTGCAAGTTGGCGGATGTAGCGTACATACGATACATACGGGTACATGCTTGCGGGGTTTCTTTGTCGAAGAGTAAGAAACTACTCGAGGAGCGACCCTATTTCAGTCACATCCTCAGCGCAGCTCATGATGTGGAACAGACACACTTAGCACATGCCCACCTGTGATGCCTCAGCGATGCTTCTGTAGTGCTTCTGTAATGCCTCTGTGATTATTTAATCTTGTTTAGTCTTATTTCATCCGATTTCATCTTATTTCTGGAAGGCCATGAAATTGCAGAAAAGACGCTTTTGGTTGGGCTGGGTTCGACCTCCTTCCGCTCTGCACGTTATTCATCGCACGAGGTGCGGTCTCTAGCCAGAGCGATGCAAGATTGGTTGGAATATCATAGGACTTTCCTGAAGAGCAAGTCCCTCATGGTTGATGCGAGCCACAAGGCCAAATTCATACTGTAGCCCAACCCAGGTCAACCTACTGACAGCAACAACACCAGCTCCATCTTGTCGATGCTGCAGGTGACGATCGACGCAGAACAGCTGCGATGGTTTGTCCGGGACTCAACAAATACGCATGTTGACCAGACAAAACAAAACAGACAACCTGCGTCACGAATCACACTTCAGTGCTGCTTTAAGATCCTGTAGCCTTCAGACTTGCCGATGCGTAGAGCTTGATTGTGATCATTAAGATCTGTTTAGCATCGAATACTTGCTGTCAAAAGTTTTGGGATGTTTTGAAGCAAAGGAAGAAACCATCCAGATGCATCCAGCATCTGATGGATGGCAAGTCTTCGTGTTCACCCATGCCCCAATTCTGGGCTCTGCTTTGCGCGTGCTTCAGGACTGCCAACCAGAGCACTTCTGAAAGCAACACTCCATACTGGTCCATACTCCATGCTGCAGTGTACTTTGCTAATCTTTGCTAATGTATTTCCAATGTATTTCCTACACATGTAAGTTGAGGAACTTCATGTCCTGAACGGTTGCTGCTGGCTGAACCACTCAGATGGTGCCAGCGCGATGCTCAACTACAGGACAAGGAAGGTGGACCAAAAACGCTTTGCACAGCTTATTCCTACTTCGTTGACTCAAGGACAACAAAGACTCACTCATTCATCCTGTTCATATTCCTGATCCAGAGCTGTATATACAGTACATATATATATACAGTACATATATATATACATAATATATATATATACCGTAATAAACGGTTGCAGTCTCATGAAAAGGTATGCTGTAAAGGTTACTTGTATCATAAAGGTTACTCTCTTTACCTCTGTTTGCTTTAATGAGAAGGATTGGAATGGAACCTACAATGAACACGCTTTTGAATTTTGCCATGCCTCGTTTGCGAAGCCAATGCTTGAAACGAGGTTCCAGAAGATTTATTGAGATAGTGCGAGAGAACGCTTGCATCAAAGGCCTGCTGCCTGGAATCCAACTTGTATTCGTGCGAAGAGATCGTGGATTCTGAATGTTTGGTCTGATTAGAATGCCGAGAGTTACTGATGTTACTGTCAACTTACAACAGTTAGAAGAACGTTGGACAAGGACGTTTGACAAGTGAAAGAGAGGGTCGGACAAACTTCTGCCAAGGATGGTTCTCTGGCCACTTCCACTTGTCTCACGACTATCAGGATTCCATTACTTTTCCAGGCGTGACATTCGAATGTTGGCCGCTCCGGATTTTGAAGGATCTTGCGACCCTCCTCACCTTCACTTCGCATCCTCTTTGTCTTGTTGAGGTGTTCTCTCTCTCTCTCTCTTTTTCTGTGTATAAACTATATATGCATCCATGTAGACTTATGTATCACACGTCCAGGCATTTATGCGAATGAGTGAGCACACAAGGAGACATTATACACGCAAAATGTACAGTCCAGGTATATCGGTGTATATATTGATTATATATATAAATATGTATAATAATATAATGGGGTTACTAAGGCATACGACATACGAAGGCAATTTGAGACATCATGATAGATCAACATATATCTAGATACGGTGTGACGATGTGTCACGTGACTGAAAAGCGGCAGTGTTGCATCAGGTGGTAATCGTCGAGGGCATTGTGTCTTTGCACAGACTGGAGTTATGCGGCGTCAATCCTCGCGAGATGGCAGGCACCAGTGCCTGTCAAGTCTTGATATGTCTTGATCAAATCTAAGTGACCATTGTTTCTGCTGATGTTTAAGTGCAGAGCCCTTGTCTTCCGTGTTTGCCCCTTGAATCCAAAAGACAATCTGTTCAACTCATCAGAAAGGAAGCATATGCAACCTGAGCTTGGAGCGCCAATGGCTTTCACAATGCCTTGGGGAAATGTCATGAACAGTTTCATGAAATGCATGAATCAATGCTACTGAATCGTGAGGCGCCAGTCTCGACTTGTCCGGGGCAACTCCCTCGGCTACGAGATTTATACTCTGGACCACAAGACGGATGGGCAGGCTCGAGTACTCGGTCATCCTGAACATATCTGAACATGGATACAAAACAATACAAGATGATTCAAGATGATACAAGATGCGTTGCATGTGAGGGGCATTTTGAGAAACAAATGCTGGCGCACTTGCGGTGCTCATATTGCCAGACCTTCTCCTGTGTAATGGACAAGTAGCATAGGGAGGGACAAAGAAGTAGACACTTTTAGAGCCGATGAGCCCATGAGATGAGCAGAGTGAATGAAGCGTCTCATTCCAAACGCGCAGTTGCGGCTGGATGCAACCGTCCTCTACTCAGACTCCTGCGAAGTCCCACAGGCAGGATCACATGCGGACCTGCAAACCTACTGGAACACTTTTCACCTAAAGCAGGTACAGTTGTGAAGGGGCGACTCGTGCAGTTTCTCGATACATGGCAGAAGATGTTGTCATCAAATCAGCAATCCTGCAAAATACAGCCCTCCGAGATAATACCAGATCATGATTCTGACTGGTAGCCTGGCCCATACACAATTAAGTATAATTATTATTAATTATTAAGTTATATATTTATAGTCAACAAGGCGGCAGTGAATTTGTCTCAGTGGATGTCTTTGTGGCAAGCCAGGACTTGCAAATTGACTTTGAACCTTCGGAGTGCTCAACCATTTGCTTCGCGCACTCACATGAGGACCGCTGGCCAAGCCGATCCTTGTACAACAAACGACAACAGAGACTGTGTGTAGCGGCATGGTGAGGATTATGACCACGATCTCTGGCTCTCCGCCTACGTTCCAAAGGATTTTTTGTGCATTTCATGGTGGGGAGTGCAATATAGTGCAATATCATCTGTGAGTGTGGACCAGCACTGGACCCGTGTGCCTTCGTGTGTTGTTTTGAGATTTGGGCGACTCTTGTGAGGAGGACGATGGGTGCCTGGTTGAGCCAAGGGGTACATTGAACCCTGAGGGGGTCGATTTAGACTTCGCCGACGGCGACCAGGCAAAGGGATGTCAGGGAGGCAGCCTCAACAGACACGCTGAAGCAGCCTCGCCCTGAGAGGTTTGCTGGTGGCACATGAAGGATGGTGCGATTCTGGGCGTGCATGGAGGAATGATCATGGAGTATGATGTGTGGATCCCAAGTTGAAACATACTTTGACATCGATCTCTAGAATAAGTAATAAGAATAATATAAGAATAAGTACTAATATGGAATGTGCATACAGCCATTGACAAATCTGTAGATGATCGTAGATGCATTATGATGCACAACACGCAAAACAGACCAAGCTGCAAAAGACAACTTCTAGCGATACAGTGAAATGGTTCTTTATTGCCCTGTTGCCGATCTCTGGTATCTTAGGCTTCAACACTTGCTCCACTTGGGATGGTGGTCAGTCCGCGACTTTGTTATGGCATGTTCTGACTTTCAGCTTCCTTTGGGTCACAACACTCTCGTTTGATCATGTTTGACCGTTTGTTTGCTTAGTATTGTATGCAAACACAACAAACATCAAGGAGTTAATTCTGAACCTGCAGATTCAACAGCAGAAAAGGCCGTGATGAGCTGCAAAATCGTCGAGTCGCCGTCATTGATGATGGGTGTCTCCGGCGTGTGGGATACATTCTGCACCCGAGAGTCAACTAGCTGCACAATTGAACCTCAATACCCAGTACTGGCAGGGGACTTAGGGGACTCAGGGGACTCAGGGGACGCAGCGCTGCATGATATTGCTTGAAACCTTTTAGTGACCCCGGCATCATTTGAGTCTCAGAGGCAAACTCTGTGAAGACGCATTGACAACTAGTCATCATTAACCGAATAGTTCCGACCAACACCTAGACTCAGCTGATTGTCAGCCCAAGCTGACCAAAGCTCAGTAGCACAAGAGACAAAGATTTTCAAAGTGTGATGAAGCAACTGCCCCATAATATCCCATAATATGATATTTCAAATTTGGGTGTGAACTTGAACAGACCTGGCACGACCCGGCCCAGCCTTGCCATGGCGCTGATTCAACAGGGCCTGCTATGACAGCTGCTGGAATAGATGCCCTGAAAACATTGGGCCTCAAACCAGGCTGCGCCGAACAGGACAGACTCCAAGGGTGATAAGCTGCGTTCATTCAACCAAATTACGTTCGATGTCAGGATGTGACTCAAGCATACCGGCGCTTGGCACGAAAACGTCACCCAGACAAAGGTGGTAATAAGGAGGATTTCCAACGGCTGCGTGCAGTGCCTTGGAGCGGTCAGTCTCATTAGAAGATTTTTACCCATAGCTGAAACCCATAGCTGAAATTGAATGTACCAGTGGATTTCAGTAGAAATAGATAGAAAAAAAATGAAAACAGGAATGAATAAGATACCAACACTACAGTTGCTGCGGTTTCTGGTCTCCAAGGCTTATGAGCTGCTGACGACAATAGGAATCCCTGATGCGCCTTGCTCGGCACCAGTGCCTTGGAGAGTGGCAGGAAGAGAATCATGCGGAAAAGGTTCGTTGATTTGTACGGTCGATCTGTATGGTACAAAGTTTGGATTAATGATTAAGGATGAATATGGAAATATATGGAATTAGTAGCATCCACAACTCATGATGCACTAAGATCTCCAAGTTGTTCTGTTGAGGCTGCAAAGCAAGCCACCCCTGCGCCTGCAGCAAACCCTTTCGCAAAGATGTGGGCGGAGGCTCTTGCTTTTGAGTGGTCCGTGCGAAGACGTGCAAAGACGTGCAACGACGTGCAAAGACGTGCAAAGAATGGCACAGGCAGCAAACATGCCTAGAAAACGATCCGAGTTCGCAAAATGAACCATACTGCACAAGTTCAATATGTCAATGAATATGCCAATCAATAGGTCAATCAATAGATCCCAATGAATAGATCGATTCAATATTAGATTAATATTCTGATGAACCAATATTATATCAGACAATTTCATACAATTTCAATCAATATCATCAAAGATAACATTAGTTTTTTTCACTATTACAGTATATATTCCAATATCATATAACTATATATATACACATTGTAGATATAGATATAGGATGTATACATATATACATATATACATATATACATATATATTTATATATATACACATAATGTTGTTTTCTTTTGATCTCATAGTAATTATATCACGTTGACTCCCTGCGCCAGGCCCAGCGCCTCAGCGCCGAGGAGCGGCACGCCGCTCGCCGCGCCGCCGCGCAGCGTGCCTCGATGAGTGGCACGGAACGCGCCAGGGAGGCGCCCCACGCTGGTTTTTGCTGGTTATGGCTGGTTAATGGAAGGTGATTCCTGCAAGTTTGGGATGTGTAAGGGATGATAAGTCTAAGTTTATATATATAATAGTTTATACATGTTTATAACATGTTAATATTTTCAGATCGTGTAAGATTGTTTGAGTATGTGAATGGAGTAATTTTTGATGAAAAATAAGAGGTTGACAAGAATTGATATATTGATGGAAGACATTGATGGCCCTTCTCTTCACTTTCAGTGTGCAAACCTGTGAAGTGTTTGTTTGAACCTTTGTGACCGGTCCATTGCATTGATTACGCATATTACTACTTGGGACCTGTCCGTTGATGTAACAGAGGTGATAAGAAAATGTTTCGGCAAACTTTAGTTGGAAGACTGCTTGAAATTGTTTGAAACCTGTTTAGGACTGTTCCTGCCTTGAGGAGACGAGAAGAAGAAAGCGGCAAAGGGAAGAAGAGGACGGGAGAAACTTCTTTTCAACTCACCAATGAATTCGAAGAAGTCACCTTGAGCACCAGGATGTTCTCAGCTTCCACTTATGATTACCATTTCGATATGTTGCCTAGGAGCGGCGACATGCCGAAGAGTGGGAGGAATTGAGGCCGGGGGTTTGGGAAATGTAAGGAATAGCAGAGGATCAAAGTATATACGAGTCATAAATGATGATGCCATATTGAAAATTGACAGAATCATATACTGTAGTCCATATAGCGCTGAAAACTGAAGCATTTTTCCAAGGTCCATCTAAGAATCTAAGAATCTAAGGAATCTACATGGAATCTACATGGAATCTACATGGAATCTACATGGAATCTACATGGAATCTACATGGAATCTACATAGCTCAGATTTTGATTTGAGACACCTGCAGGCGGGAACAGGCCCAGCAACGTGCTGCCAGTGCTGCAAACTTTCAGCAGCGGCGGAACAAATGGGCAGCGCAGCATCGTGTCCAGCTCAAGTGATTAGACAAATTGGACAGGTAAGCCATCCCGTGGTGCGTTTGGATCTGAAAAAGCAATAAGTTGTATGAACAGCCTTGGATTAAGACGGTGAGCTAGGATCATTTCAGCTGCTGCACCTTGCCCAAGGTGCTCACATCTCAGGAGTCAGCTACGACATGCAGGACAGCACAGCTCTTGTTCGAAGTTCAAATGAATGTATCATGCATGGGGATATCTCTGCAAAGTGTGCAATGCCTTCGAAACCCCCACATGTGTGCGCTGTTTTGATAGCTTTGACAGTGATATTGGCGGATATCGGATGATATTAGGATTATATTAGGATTATATTGGACTGTTTCTTCTTTCTGCCATGCTTCTCCCAGTCAGATGCAGTCAGACTGAGTTTTGCAGGCTGAAGCTTTGGAGCTTCGCCGCTGGCTGCGGATGTTGCAGAAGTCTCGAGTGCAGCCAGAGGTCCCGAGGCCGAAGCCAGCAGAGTGCCTTGGAAGTGCCAACTGCCAAGGTTTCATCAAGGTGTCATCAAGGTGTCATCAGGCAGCACCTTAAAGGTCCTGAAAGACTTTTAGACTTAGATGGCTTGACAATTTTAAACAATACACATTGAGATAATCTAGTACTTAGATGTACTTAGTAGATGAAGTCAGTGGAATGACTGATCGTGGAAGATCTTCCCAATGTTTGTGGGCTCAGCTGTTGATCTCAGCCAATTAACATCAAGATTTGCTGAGCCAAGGCCACCTCCGAAGATGGCACGTGTGCTGCGAGGACGAGCAAGTTCTCGGCGTTGATTTGGTGCCTCGCCCACCTCCAGGTTCACTTGGGACCTGGCGCAACTTCGAATTCCACTCCGGAACATTCGGAACGATGGGCTTGTTATCGGCAAGATGCCGCAAGCTAATCACCACGTCACCACGTGCCATGAATATCAACGGAATGAATTTGAAGGAAATACCAACTGTGTTTGTGTTAGTCCATGTACAGATTATCGCTCAAAGAGCGAGCCAAATTTGTGCGGGCTTCGCTCCGCAAAAAGTTGGAGCACTCATCCTTTCGAGCTAGGATGAACCAGGGGTATTGATGGAGAGCTCGTGACAACTCCTCTCCAGTGGAAGATGTGGAAGTCTGTAGCGTGCCAACATGTCTCAAGATGTCGCACTATCATGTCGTACAAGCTGCCAACTTCATGTAAATCTCCAGCCATGCTGCAGCGCTTGGGTTCTCGGGCCGTGCCTCCGACAGCAATGGGAAACTTATGTTTCAGCACCACCGACGACAGGCAAGTCGCAACTGCCCAGCTGATAGCCATTCGGACCCGATGGACCCGGAAAGCTGCCAGGTATGGTATGTCCCTTCGGGTGCCCTCCGAGAGACAGGTGCTTCAGGCCGGAAGCTTCAGCCGCTTCAGCCGCTTCAGCCTGACACTCCACAGTGCTCCACAGCATCGAAGCCCTGGGAGGTGGTGGCCAGAGCCCGGAGTGATGATGAGGCCAGAATTGCTCCCCATTCCCAATCAGTGCTTCAGATAATCAGATATGAGTTCCACATGATCCACTGCGAAAAGCAACTCACACCAGCAACATGCACATCAACATAAATCAAGTACAAGTGTTGTTGAGACTGTGAACATCTGTGGACCATATCTCAAGTCATCACTGGAGCAATGGTGCCTCCAGGCCTTGCCAGTCCATGAGGATAGCTGCTCGGAATGCATCAAATCAGAGGGGGTATCAACATACAGCAACCGCAGAGGAAGAACATCCATGAACATTACAGAGGATTTGCCAGCATTAGTATTAGGCCAAGATTTAAAGTTTAAAGGTCAATTTAAAGATATATCATTATAATTCATTATATATATCATGATATATATATAATATATATAATATATATATAATATAATATATATATAATATAATATATATAATACATATATATAATATATATATAATATACATATATTATAATATTATCATTATATTATTTAATGATACCTGGTATGGCTCAATCATGAATATATGGCCGCAACATGGCGATGGAGATTGAGGCGGCGGCTGCAGAAGTTCGAGATGGCACGGAGAAGGTACCCTGCCGGTGATCAGAGAAGAGGAGCACCAGATCGGTATCAATGGGTGGTTTATGGGTATAAAACCAATGATACAATATATATGTATATATACAATGCGGATACGATGGGAATATGTTTTCAACATGTGTTTATATAAAGGGAATATTGAACAATAACTTAACCAATCATTTATCATTGAATCAATATATAAATATTATAGGTTTGTCTGCACTGCTGGGGATACTCCCCTTCAAATGGCCATCTATTCATGGGGGTAATTAATGGTAATTATATGTATAATTATATAGTAATCCATTGAAACTAGGGATGCCCTGGGATGTCCTATTTTAGACAAATCCGATTGTAAGAATGGTATCAGACTTCCATACATTGTTCATCATTGTTCCATCCAATGATTCAGGACAATTAGATTAAGATTCATTCATATTCGTAGGATTGATTTCCATGGTAGCATGACAGTCAGAATCGTACAAGGGGTTTCATTCACTGTTCAGTAGAATGATGTAGAATGGTTGTGTCAGATTCCGTATTACTTTTGACAGGCAGTCCTGATGCCCTTCAACATCTCGTGCAAAAAGATGTCATGTTGGGTATAAACTTCTCCGAATGGAAGGAAGTCTTCGTACTAAACTCTTCTTCACCGAGCCGATGTGAGTCCAAAGAGACCCAGGACCTGACTTCTGAACATCTAGGTTGTTGAAACAATGTAAATACATCCTTCAACAGTCAAGAGACATCAAGAGACCATGGCTTTGCTAAGGCTATCTAAAAATAATACAAGCACACATAGGCACAAGTTCTGTTGCGGGTAGTTGATTGATCATTTTGCACAGCTGGAACTCTGGAATGTTAAGACCTGGAACATACTGCAACTAGGCGTCTGCAGGAAAAAAGTAAGAACACGGCAGCAAAAGACAGAGTAACACAACATGTTTGATTTGCCTTGCAGCTGAATGTTATAATCGATCTTTGAAGACATAGTTGCAACATGTTGCAACATGTTGCAACTGTTTTGTTTTTTTTCTCGGAGCATTCAGAAACATCAGATTTTTTCTCCAGAGATATTCCCTGTCACTCTGTCATCCTCTGTCCTCAGCGAAGGATGTCAAGGAGGAGGATCTTGAGGCGCTTGAGGAGGAGGTGCGGCTGTGCCCATGCCGTGCCCACTGCGTCGCAAGGGGATTGCACAGAAGGGTTGACGTGAACCAGTTTGAAACAGTTTGAAACATTTGCCAAGAAAGGTTGGACCGCAAAGTTTCAATTGTCACAGAGAATGGCAGAGAAATCTCAATCAAGTTGTTGTCTCAGGATATTAGATGCAATACATGGCTTTGGGATGGGTATTGTATGGTATTGTCAATTAATCTCCTGGGCCCTGGTTCTGGCAAAGGGTGATTTTCAAGTCATGATAGCCGCAATACAGGTGCTTTGCCCAGTCTTGCTGGGACGTAGCATGGAAGAGGCTTGGAATGGCAAGTGACAACATGTCCGTTTCTGAAGTCAGACCTGAAGTCACTTGGAATGACCTAGAGATACCTGGAGTCTCCATGAGTTTTTTGTGCAGTGCTGATTTTATGTGATTTTGCAATATTTTGCATGCATCCTTTGGAGAGCAGGTCTTCCAGCTTGTTCATAATCACCATGATGGTGTTCAACGATTTTGTTTTTTCCTATTCTGTCCATTTGGAAGGTGCCAGCGTTCATGCCCGGCCCCGCGTGGAAGTCTGCAGGAGGCGATTCCACTTTTTTGGCAGCGCAGGCTGGATGAATTTGGGTGAAACTTCGAGTCCCCACGGCAGCCATGGCAGCATGAGAGCAGAATCATTTTTGAGATCCTGAACCAGTTGGAAACCTATAAAATCCATTAAAATCCTCTAATCTTGTCACTGAGAATTCGCCGCTGTGGAAACTTGCGGAAGGCTGCAGCTAAATCTGCGAGAGGCATAGGTGCCGAGGACCAGTTGAGGCAGGTTTTGCGAGTGACATGCTAAGATGAGATGAACGAGGTCTATGGGAAAACATGAGGACAACCGAGAATAGCAGATTTTTGGAATCAACAATGTTTGGCCCCGTTGAGTGGCAGGCTTTACAGCCTCCAAAAACAAGCCACGGTCGGCCCGGTGCGTGGGCCACGTCCAGGGCTTTTCGAAATGAGAGTTTCTTGGCAAAAAGGAACATACCAGCAAGAACAAAGATACGAAAGTGAAAACAAATTAAGGGAATGGGAGGGCTTGGAATTTAAAATGGATTCAATTTCAAATTGATACAACTATGCCACCCTATGCCTATACCTTACCCACTTGTCCTAAAAGCTGGTGGCACTTCCAGATTGCAAAGCGACTTGTGCAAAGCCAAGGCCAGAGCCAAATGGAGAGCCTGGGCCAAATTGTGCTCCATGGACCGAGAATCTTGGTTGAACAGTTTCTCGTTCTTTTGCAACTGCCTCCATGTAATGTAATGTTATGAGGTTGAGCAGGTTGATGCAACAAGTATTGACAGTGTTGAGATATAGATGATATATTATGATATATTATGATATATTATGATATATTATGATATATTATGATATATTGTTTATTTTTTGTATTTGAATGGACCCCCCAAGGTGGACTTCAGCAGAGAGATCTTGGGATGTTCCCCTTTGCTCAGTGGATAGTGGATAGCGGGTCAGGAACTGGCCAAGAAAGAGTATTGCGCCTTGGTGGACGACTTGGTCCCTGGCTGGCGAGGAGATGCTCAGCTTGAAGTGTGAGCGTCGCATGTTAGTTTCCATTAGAGATCAATGTTTCAGAGGAAAGCTAACGGCCTCATGATCCGGCCGTGACCGAGCCATTCAATCATATCATATCATCATATCTCATCACATCTCACAAATCACCAAACATACAAAACAACGAGAGAAAGGAGAAAGGATGGAGCATGACTGTCCCAACCTACATGCATAGACACATAGAAACTACGCAGAAGGTGCACATACACACATACAGAGACTCGTTGTTTTGAACATGGAACATATTCTGAATGTCGCACTCACCGCACATAACCACACCAGCCAACCTGCTGGTAAATGCAAAGAATAGACCACAATGCTTGCAACGTAGAATTCATGCTTTCTGGAACGCGACAAGTGGCAAGAAACAATAGAATCGAATTCATATGAATTCATGGAAGGGCGCACGATTGTTTTGGGTGGAAACATCCCAACTCCAAAGTGTCTTCATCTTTGCTGCTTCTCGCAATATCCACAAGTGCTAGAAAGTTTGACTATGTTCAGAATGTTCAGATTGCATTTGAAGGTTGCTTTAGCCCCTTAGCCAGCCTTCCAGAAAAGGCTATTTACAAGTCGCCTCATTACAGGTAGCTTGGCCGAGGGAACCTTCCTATGCGAACAGTTTGGCAATGCTCGATTGCCGTTTAGTGTCGGCTGCGGCAGCCTGCCTCAAGCGATCAAAATCAGGTACGGCATGGGTCCGTTGAAACGGACCTAGTGCTGTTCTATAGCATGAAAGTAATCATAGTAATCCTGAGCTGGCGGAAATGCATCTGAACTCCAGCAAAAAGGCATCAGATATATTCAGATATGTTGCCTTCAAACATGTCAGTGTTTGTTCTATCAGGCTTTATCCCATGCATCCATTTCTACCATAACATCTTGAATCTAAGATTTTGCAAATTCTTTTGGACTTTTGGGGAGGAATTTGACCCATGGTCGGATTGCTTCCATGATGCATCTCCCTGTTTGCCAAGCCCCAACACGGATGCAAGCCGCAAAAAGTGCCAGCTGGTTCAGTTTTCGCTGACCAAAGCGACACTGCGTCTACAGTACATTGTGGAAACTGTACGGAGAGTGAACTATTTCCTATATTATTATATGTTTTAATATCTCTCGTCTTTTTGCATAATGTTAATGATGCCCATGCCCATGTCCGCAAATTCAAGTCATGATTGTCATGGCAGGTGGGGTGGCTCAGCGCTTGTCCTCTACGACGATGATACCGCTGATGTGACTGTGGTCCAGCCCAATGAGGCTTGCAACTTTGTTGGACCAGTTTTTTTTGAATAATTATAGATGTCACATGATGTCATATTGTTTACCTCTCTATCTCTCTCTCTCTCTGTGTCCGACCACTGCCAGGATGGATCATACTGGCGGAAGGTGCCTTCCTGAGACTGTCAGCATCTTTCAGCTGCAGCGGTGGCAAGGCCAGGAACAGGTCACATCATGTGATGAGGTCGTCCGGAACAAGATGCACCGCACAAGAGAGATGAGACGGATGGAAGCAGCTGCGAAATGGGCCAAAAAGGACAGGGTTGAAATTGGTTATTGCTGCTGCGGCAATGCTTTTTGAGGTCCCAAGTGGGGCAGCTGATTATCATGATGCTAATTAGATGAATCAAGGCTGAACATGGCTGAACCATAGACAGGATCCAAGGCGTACGCGTAGTGATTGCTGTTTTGTTGGTTTGGGTTGGGTGGGAGAATAACCTTGGGGTGGGGTGAGATGGCTGGGGGTGGGACAGTAATGTGCCCTCGCATTTGCAGACACATTTGATGCTACGCTAGAGGTTTCTCCATGTTTCTCACTTTTTCTTGCGAGAAGTGATGCTACGTCAGAGATGGGGTGGGGGAGGGATGGGCCGTGATGGGCCTGGGTGCAGTAATAACATTCATGTAATGTACATATGTGATCATATGTGCATGTACTTCTCTTACAATTTGATGCTACGCAATTAGATTTTCTCTTGCGCTTGTGTGTGCCCGATGCTACGCTGTCCTTTCTTTTCTTGCGCTTGCACACTATGTTATCTTGCACTTGTGCACGTACTTGATGCTGCGTTCTACTATGTTATCTTGCACTTACGTAGTTGATGCTATGCTAGAAGAGTTTGCTGTCACAGCAAAGGCAGCTTCGTAGTGAAGTCCAATCCGTGCAACAAATATATGTCGTCCTCTGCGGCGATCAAGCGGTCTGCTACGTTCAATCTTGAATTGGATGAATAAACTCGTGCTTGGCGGTGTTGGGATGTGTTGGGGGAACACCAACTGCCAGGATCTCTGTGAGACGCCCGAGACATACATGAACATACAGGCAAATCAACAAAAAGACGCCTGTGAACGGCGAAAATTGACAACTAAAAAGATGGCCACTGAATCCAGGCTGCCACTCTGGGTTTTCACACATCACATTCATTAACAAAAAACAATCTGTTTTCCAGCATCGCCAAATTCAACCTTGAGCTTAAAATTCTAAGGGTTGCCAATTTTGAAGTGCCATTGGTGTAACCGTGCATGCGGTTCCGCATGGTTCCGCACCCGGAGGTATGTTTATCCATCGCTTTGATTGTATCAGCAATCAGTGTCATGGATTGGCTGTGATTCTTCAATTTATCAGGCTCTAGACCAACTGTCTTGATTGCCAAATCACCAAAAAATCTACCTGCGACCAGTAGAGGAGGATTGCCGCCGGAGCAGGGCTCTGTTCGGGGACGCAACTGAGCATAACGGTAACTGAACCCTGCGGCAGGAGAAAATGGTCGACAAGGCGCGGGACAGTTAAAGTTGTCAGCACCCATTCCCTGGACTTTCAAGTCTCGGATTGGCCACGATGGGATGCCAGGTAAAGGTCCTGTCATCCTACGGACCGTACAAGACCAGTTCTGGGAAGGCGACATGAAACACAGTTTCAAGACGTTTCCACTCATGTTTCCACTCATGTTTCCACTCATGTTTCCACTCATGTCCAAACATCTCAACCACGGATATAACTGATACACTGCTTGTCAATGGTGGCGGATGAGATCCCTGAAGAGGTGCTTGGCTTGTCAACTCGCGCAATTGACCCCAAGGCAAGATGGCTCCCTTGACTCTACTGATACCAGACTTTAGGGATCTTTAGTGCATTTGCTTAAATTAGCTTGAGTTGACCGGAGCATCCAGGCCAACCAATTGCAGTCCAAGCTGCCAGTAAATCAGAAAGCTGTCAGTCCTGTCACAAGGCGGCTCCACTGCAGTGATCAGCTCAGCTCAGTTTGAGAGACCCTGAGAGACAATGACATTTAATGAGCTTACGAGATCACGAATTTCAGCCAGAGACTCGGGTGCTGTTTGCACCTGTGAGTGCTGACTCGACAGAAAAAGACACTTGCAGAAGGTGCAGTGCCGGACTTTGTCAATTGACAGATTGCTGTCACATGTGCAAGCAGCTCTAGTATTGCATAGTATTGCTAGCCGCTAGCTACAGCAAGATCACTCCAAGAAGCTTGCCGCAAGTCATGATGCAGAGATTGCCACCTTGTTGAACTCATTCAGATTCTCATCAGCGTCTTATGTTCAGCCACAGAGTTTGCAGGAGGCCAAATACGTGGCACAGTTGGAGGAGGCGAAGAACCAGGTTAGCATCTATGAACGTGGCTGGAGACAGGCGCCCAACTCTTGGAAAGGGATCAATGATCCCACCACAAGATACCACAATTGTGTGTTTGCTCGTGAGAAATTACCTACTTGGTCCATCTTGGTCCCACTTGCACTTACTACATCACCTTGCCACTCTGCAACATTGTATGTTCCGACGGTATGATGCGATTTTTTTCGCACCTCTGAAAGAAAACATGGTCGTTTTTCTCCACTCGCTGGTTCTGTCTGCAGGCCTTTTTGGAGGCGCAAGATCTGGAAACTCTGTTGCCAGCTCAGTTTGATGGTTGGATTCAGAGCAGATGTGATCAACTGCACTTGTTAATGACAATGAACATGGAGGAAGATGGATGAACAATATGAACATGAATGATGCATTTGCCACTTTTTGACCAGTCTAGCTGATCACCGGCATGAACCAGTTGCCCAGCCACAAGTAAACCGCAACAGTTGTCACCTCTGATGTTGGCATAGCAAGGTTGAAGAAGGAGCGTGAGCAGCGGCAGCATGTGAGTTGCGCGGTGGCAAATTTGGTACAGTATGAAAAGCAACAGGAACTACAGCACACAGGCCAAACATATAATAAGATAAGGATGATGAGGATCGAAAAGTCAACAGAATATATCGAGTGGAGGAGAAAACCTCAGCTCAGGTGGAAACAGGCACAAGAGAGAACATCATCATGCTGCTTCTCAAATTTTTGGAATAGAAGTAAAAAATGCAATGGGTTTGCCCCTGTGGTTGTTGAGCGGCTGGCGGGGCCAAGGTGACTTACTGGAAGACCTTGAAAGGCGATGCTTCAACGTTCAGAAGGACTCAAGATTGGCTTGGTTAGGTTGATTCTGCTTGCTCAGGTGCAGGCTCTGTAATGAAGACCTTACCAATCCTTACCATTTATTGCCTATGCCAGGACTTGTCTCTACAACATTTGCCGGAAGTGCCAGTCACTGAGTTGGTTTACAACACGACACCTTGGCTGGGCATGGTTACGGGTCAAGGCACGCAGACCTCCAGCCCAAGGTTTGCGCGGGAGAGAGAACAGATGGCGCAAATGGCCCAGAAAACCACGTACTTTGAAGATCACTGTGAGAAGTTGCAGAAGGACGGGCTATGACTGGCTTATTCGTGGATACACTTTGCATCAGTTCATATCAATTTCTGTTCACCATTGTTTACTAAATATATTAAGAACTACTTTCAATTGTAGGAAATAGTTTGATTTCCTTCACTTTATCGAACAATTGAATAGTATGATTCAGTACTGTATGATACATATAGTATTTCCATTCAGTAGTGATGGCGAAAAACACTATTTAACACTATTTACTGTATGATACTGTGTTTTTTGCCATCTTGATTTTGGTCCTTGTGCAGTCCGTGGCCGACCTCCAAGCGCAGAATCATCAGCCGGAACCCAATATCCATGTTCCGTTGATTTGCAGGGTGAGTCGTAACTTTCTGCAACAGTACTTGCCACATCAATCATTGGATTGCAATCGGATAACATATATAATATATATATGTATATGTATATGTATATAATATAATATATAATATATGTATATTATATATATATATATTATTATTATATATTATAGATATAATATTATATATATAGAACCATTGGACATACTGGGATTCCCATGGGATTCCACTGGCCCAGGTTGAGTCTGGACCATGCCGATGAAGACGAGGCGGTGGCTCGGCGCTTCGCCGAGCTGCGAGAGCAGTACGAGGAAGTGTGCCTTGGATTACCTTGGGATACGAAGGGGTTAACGTTGCTTGATGTTGGTTGGTAAAGGATCCCATTTTCCATTCATTACCATGGATGGAAAATGGATGGAAAATGGATGGAAAATGGATGGAAAATGGATGGAACATGCAAAGATGTGCAAAGATAGTCAAGAGCACTTGATTCGAAATGATGGCTCCGATGCTGGGAGAAGGATACACCCTTTTTGCTGTGCACACTCTTATCACACTCTTTACATAGTGTACTGTCCGTTACCAGTGGACATAAAGCTCAGCAGCGTGCCTGGTTGCCTTATTGCAGTCCGGCGAAGTTGCTTGTCCCGCAGCTTGAGCTTTGATCGCATGCAATTTTGAGCCTTTTCATGAGCAGTTTCAATTGCGCTGAACCAAACCCTTCAAGACGTACTCGTACAAAGTCTGCAGCTTTCCCCGTTTGCACATGTTGCTAAAACAAACATAAGAACAGCATCCTCAACACGAAACCGCACCCAGCAACAACGAAGTCAGTCGACATCCTTTGACCAGATTTACGCAGCCATGAAAGGCAATGCATGGGGAAAGGCAGGGGACCAGAATTGATCTACAGCAATCATATATTATGTAAAAACATGTGAAAAGTGAAAAGGCATTGTTTTGTGTGGTGCTGTTTCAACCTTTATTTGAGCAGCTTTCTGTCCAGAAGAAGGATCTACGAAGGATACTAGAAGTCATGGATTGGATCCTTTGAAAGGAAGCAGTTGCAATAATTTTGATTGATGCATTTATTGTCATGATATTATCATTTATTATCATTTATTGTTTCAATATATTTCAATGACCTGTCACTGTGGTTACCAGGGCTCCCAGACGCGAGAAGCTCAGTGCCATCGAATCTGGCCATGGAGTCCATGCCAGTGCCATCCAGTGGCTCCATCCACCACTGAGGTCCAAAGGTGGCGGCCGTGGAGCATGGGGAGGTGACAAAGGTGGGCATGCGGCATGGAATGGCATGGATATGGATCACGTCAAGCTGTGAAATTCTGAAATCCTATGATTTCTATTGTATCTGTATGATTCTGTATGTACATATGAAATTACAATTTGAAAATCATCAGCTTCCCATTGAAGATATGTTCAAATTCTGCCAGGCAAGGGCAATGAAAAGGGAGACAAGGGCTATGAGAAAGGAGACAAAGGTCGCAAGGCAGGGGTTATAATTCTTTGAACGCGCCCACAAGTGCTCTCCAAGAATGAACGCCTCAAACGGCCTGAAATCTCATACTTTGGACAGATGAACTCAGATGAACGGTTTGGCTGTCACGTCATGCAATCATTCATTCTGTGGGGTACGAACAAGTACTTTCTATTACTTTCTCATGTAATGCAATTATGTGCATTTGCAAATAAATTTCAGAGTGGTCGGTGAATAGGCCACAGCTGGTACACAGCGACAGCTTAGACATGGTCAGGGTGAGAAAGGTGAGAAGGGCGACAAGGGAAAACGCGGCCCAGTCCCATGGAGTTTTGTTCCCCTTTGTGCAGCACACGCCTCAGCAGAACTTTAGACATTTCTGAAAGTGAACACATTGGAAACTTGGCAAATCCTTCCAGTTGCTGGAAACCTTTCGTAGCTTCCGAGCCTCGAAGGTGACACGCGCCACAATAATATATGTGAGCAAAAGATGTGAACACCTTGACCCATCAAGCATATATCAATATATATATATATACATAATGATATATATATAAATATCAATATAAATCAATATATGTGTGCATATATATATGTTAAAAGACTACATATGACTATGTTATATACATATAGTATCAAGATATGAAGACACATCAGTGCAATGTTAATTTTAAGAACATTGTGACACATCATTCCACAGCACGTCTCAGCCTTGGTAGGATTGGATCCTTCCATCGCAGCCATGGGTCCTCTAAAGCGCCCAGCGCCCGAAACTGCTGCCTTGGAGGAGACTGATTTGTTTCTTAAGGCGCGATCTGGATCTTTGCCTTGCCTGTTGATAAACTGATGGCCACAAGGTCCTGTAACGCAGTGTAATCATCAATCATTGGTTGCAAGACTTCAGGTAATTACAAGGAGTTGTGCCTTATTTTTTCATCACAATCAATCACAACCAATCAAGATCAGATGCCCCTGTTTCTTTGCAGTCCCGGGAAAGATCTAAACTGGGGGCTTTGTTCTCACTACTTATTCACATCTTTCCTTGCGCTCGGAGTCATCCAGAAGTCAGAGTCCGGAGTCCAGAGCAACTCATCTTGAAATCCAAAGGTTTGTCTCAGATCAATGCAGGCGAAGAAGTTTGCGAGTGATGGCCGCATCTCACATTCGGAGGCGAAGGAGAGATATTCTCTTGCGCAAGACTTGCCCCAAAAGGTCAGTGAGGCACTCTTGCTGTTTCATGTAATAATGAGTGCATATGTTTGCATCTATTTTGAGGATGCCTTAGGGGCAGTAAGCTGGTGAACAAGGGCTTCCGATTACTATGGCCTGGGAGTCATTAGCAAAGAGGAGCTGTGGGCAGATGGACATCTTTCACAGCATGAACTGGAAGTCCTGTTGCATGGCGGCAAATGGATTGCAAATGGTCCCAACATGTCCCAACCCTCCATATACATGCTGCGTCACTTTGAAATCATAGACTCCAAGTGGACGCGATGTGCGAAGGGGGGTTGATCTGTTGGACTATAGGTTGGCAAAGGACTGAGGGCATTTAGAATTGGAACTGAAACCCGTCTGACCTTGAACATTCTAAGGCGACACATCACGCATAGCTTCCACTTCACGTACAAAGCAATGGCCTGGATACAGCCACTTCTGCACAGCCCGAAAAAGACGAGCTACTACCGCCAGGTCAATCGGCTTTGATTCAACCACTTTGCACATTCTTTGCACATCTTGCACGAAAGTAAACTCAGTAAACAGCTGCACGGGGACCATGCGGGATTCACCTGCCTTGAACCACTTATTTCCCCCCTGTTCGTGTACAAATGGAATACCCAGAATACTTCGCCCTCGCATGAACATGCGTCAACGCCTTGCCGGGATTGAAGGTACATGGACAGCGATATGACAGAGCCTTGGAACATATGAAAGGAGTAATTAAGGACTCGAAGAGTTTGCAAGCGTCAGGAGACTTCAGAAGTAAACACACATTTGCTCATGTTTGGGATGGCAAAATGCTCCTGAAATCACACTCTGATCGCAAGTTGGACAAATGATCAGTGTCACATTGCAGTAGAAATTTACAGATTCCAAGGAGAGCTGCTGGATATGGCAGAACGCTTTGTAAAGGACGGTGCCTTCCCCAGTGCAACTCCGCTGTCCTTCCACTGTAGCATGTCGTAGCAAGGTCAGATCTCGTATGCCGAAGCTCATAGCCTGTGGCACTCCGCCCAAGATGGGAAAGGACAGTCCAGACCCTGAGTCTCCAAAATGTTTCCAATGCCTTGACAGAAAAGCGTGGAATGTTGCTGAAAGCCATGGAATTGACACACTCATTCTGATACCTTTTCTCGTGTTTACTAGCTTCAGCATGCTTCCACAGTTTTAGCCCCGCTTCACATTCAGTTCCTCTGCATCATGCTCGCTTGCAGGGGTAACGGAGGTTGAGCGGAAGACGCTGCAGTATACGTTGGATCATATGAAGTACACCACGAAGGCGTCTTGACTTTCTTTAGTTTGACTTTCTTTAGTTCCTTAACCAAGGCACGATGCTTTTTGTGCTGCTTTCCAGGCTGCAGCGTTCCTTCGTCTAAAGCTGGATGAAGGAAAGGTGCAGAAGGTTGGCAGGACAGTGCTTTTTTGTCTGTTGGTAGACCTGACAAGCAAGCTTTGCTCGCAGAAAGATCAGAACGCTTCATTTGTCAGGCCATAACAGTTTATCTCTGTAGGTCATGCTATCAATTTGACAGTGACAGTGACCTTGAACACATGACGCACTTGATCACTTAGCCACGACCTTTCCAGGAAGTCCAGCCTTTTACCCAAAGTTGGTGACAAGGCAAAGGTGAGACAGCTGAAGAAGGCCGATTCCAAAGATTCCAAAGAAAGCAATGGAAAGCCCAAAGCTTCGGTGGGTAGCCCTGCCAAAGGGCCCATTGGCCACGGCAAAGATGCCATTTCGATAAATCTCAGTGGGCCTGGAAAAGACGAAAAGCCTTCTGGAGGAAAGAGTCCCAGAAAGAGTCCCAAGGACAAGCAGAAGGTGCGCCTTTTGACAAGAACTGACCAATCGCAGAAAGGTCACATTGCCATCATAGCCATGCTGCGCTGAATGTTGAGCTCTGAGTCTTGGCTCTTGTGGTGCCAGGTGCTCATCAAGTGGAAGTGGGTCAAGAGACCCAATTCTGGATTTCCAGCATTTCCTGTTGTGATGCCAAGGACTGCATTTTGGGAGGGATACTTGCAGTCAGTGCGCAGGCTAGCTTTTCTTTCTCATCATTGACAGGTAGAATACTTGGAATTATGAGTTGGTTGATTGCTTGAGCAGCTTTACTAAGCAAGTGTGTTTTTGACGCATTTTGGCGTTACATAAGCTAAACAGCTTGGCATAGCTTAGCTTTACACACCGCACACCGCATGCAGGAAGGCACATCGCTTCTCTATGGTAGTGTGTCATCCAATGGGCTGCTACTCCACATTTTTTCTCGGCCCAGAGGGTCTTGTCAAGGATCTTCTGGCTGGAGCCCCAGTTTTTTTTTTAATGGGCACTTTAATAATTGCCGATGTGGTAAAGTCAGTCCTGCCGTGTGCACTCCATGTTCTGCCATTCCAGCCTTGGCTATCCATTTGCAATTTTGCGTTCAACTCAGCAGAAGTTCATTGACCGCTTGTGAAAAAGATCACCAGAGAATCCAAGGTGCAAAGCAAAATGATTCGCGACTACTGCAAGATCCTTTGTCCTGGCTTCCAAGCCGCAGTTATGCAGCTGACGACAAATACATACCACTTCTTGACCCAAGAATCTGAAGGCATCCAAAGGCCAAAGACATCCATTTTTGCTAACAGAGATTTACTTCCAGCGCATATTCAATCCTAGCACCTTTGCTACTCCAATACTTAAACAAGATCCCTTTCGGACATGATGTACTCTTAAAATGTTCACATGACGTTGGTGTCATGCGATGTTGTGGCTGTCCCGTTCAAGGTGCTCGCCACATCGAATGGGGCAAGCATCTTGCCTGAACTGTAGGGGCTCTAGGGGCTCTAGGGGCTCTGGGGATCAGCAGTCAGTTCAAAGTTTGAGTCTTAAAAGCTGCAGTGGAGACCAGCTTCTAAGGCAGTGGTTCAGATACAGGAGCCGGATTGCACACACACAATAACAATGATATACAATGATCATTTCTTGATATTTCTTGTCACTCAAACAATGTGCCCATACGTGCGCAATATTTCGGAATGTTGCCGAGATGGATCAAGGTGGAGAGTTACTGAAGTTTCCGGGATTTGGTTGGAGCAATTGGAGCAGGAGCAACAGAGGAGGCACACGACAATGCCACGCTGAAATCATCTCCACCCGCGACTTGCAACGTGCCGTCGACTTTGTCTCTGGTGTTGTCCCTGGACGCAGAACCGATTTGCAGAGACTATCAGACCTTGAGAACTTGAGAACTGTTTGGATGTTGCATTTTTAATGTTTTTGCGTATATAATAATATAATATATGGATATACTGTGTCTACACTTTACATCTACCTACACCAAACCTTGACAAGTGATGCTGAGATACTTAAGCAGGAGCATTTCCTTTGTCCATTCGCCCAAGCTGCATGCAGCCATGCCTACCCTGCCAGACCTTCAGTCACCAAGGTGTCTTCTGAGGTTTCGACACTGGGCGCTGCTGACCGTGTGCTTTTGGGTGGCTATTCGCAAGGCCTGACTTGCTGCACACTGCACGGCTGTTTCCAAACATTTCCAAGCTGCAACTTGCCACATTTTAGCATATTTTGCATCATTTTGCCACGCTCATGATGCAGTGAACGCAACGGAACAGGCGGATGCATCAGCTTGGCTGTTGGCTTGGCCTTACCCTTTGACATTGGTCTGATCATCTCCCAGCGCGGGATGCTCATGAAGCAAACGAAGCTCGGATATGGAGATTGTCCAAACATAAACGACACAGAGCAGCACTTTTTCACCGTTTCAATCTATGTGAACCCTTCATCCTATTTGTTTGGACACTTTTGGACTGCAAAATAAGTATATTGATTGATTATGATTGATTACAACATACTACAACATGTCATAATTTGTTTACTACGTGGGGGAAAGAATTAGTGCAGAATTGGCACACTCCTTATTGCAATCCAGTCATTGGCACCTTTCAAACAATGAGACATGTTTTGATTTGCTCATTTACTATACGTTGAGGAGCTGCCACTGACTGACGAAATCAATTGAAATCATTCTTGAGCGTTGGGTACGCACATCGTTTCCCGTGAGCAATTTGATCCTTGATGTCACTAGGATGGACCGCCACTCTGTGAACGGGGAAGCTGTTTCACAGACAGAAAAGGTTGGTGGGACTCACAGCAACTTGGCTTTCACAACCGAGGCTCCTGATATCTACTGATATCTACTGATAGTTCATTCATTTTCATTCCTTGCCCAACAGTCTTTCTGGCACATTCTGGCACCTGCTTTCGCCTTTTCCGTGTGCAACACATCATGACCAGCAGTTCGAATCGCCGTTCGAATCGCCACCAATGGAAACCGCTATATACTTAATCACAAGAGCTAGCTGCTAGCTTCAGCTAGCTGTCGTCGATCGTTACAAGTTTTTTGGTAATTCCAGGGAACCCCGTCACTCACACGCAGTGGGGACCTCGTGTGCAGCTAGAAGCATGGACTGGTAGAGTGCTATTGTTTCCAGGTGATAAGACATCGAAGAAGCCCGTTTATCATTCGAAGCCTCGCATTTTCATGTCCGCGGGCGTCTTGGATGATGTCTACTTGCTGGAGAACCAGGTGAGCAAGCATTTTTTGTGAAGCTGAAATGTTCACGGCAATCCATGAAGCTGGATTTTCGATGAATTTCGGATCTCAGATGCCATCACATTGCACATGCTTTTTACACCTTTGTAAAATACAATTTGATACAATTTGTACATGTTGCAAGGCTGATGGAAGGTCATGGCTCGAGAAATATGGCTGCAAAGTTGAGTTCCAGGCTGTGAAGAGACTCGGTGGAGAGGTTTCAGGTTCAAATAATTTTAATACGTTTTGGGAATCAGGCCTAAAGCCTGGATGTCATGAGCTGCGTGCTTGAGCTGTTGAGCAGCTGCATTGGAGTGTCTCCATGAGCGACGTAGTGGGAAACAGTGCTTGTTCATCACGATTGCCACTCCTGAGGACATTGGACCACTATGAGAACTCGCATGAGGAAATTGCATGAAATTTCTGCTGACATTAAGAAGTAGCTTTCGATCGGTAAATCCGGTAAATGCGAAATGAAGATCCTGACATGATGCTCCGGGTCTACGCATCAACAGCGACATAGATGCAAGATGATGCAAGTGAAACATATTGCTGGCATCAACATCTTGCAACGCTCATTTGGCAGGAGCATGCTTTGGTGCGCAAGGCAGTGCTGGCTACCTTCAAGCGAGCCCGGAAGATAGAATCCCCGAAGAAGGCAGACCATGGATGACCATGGCAGACTATGCTGGAGTACATTGGAGCACGGTACAAGCACTCTGCTGCAACCACTTTTTTTTCATCCCAAGAAATACTCGGGGTGACTGTTACCTCTCAGAGCTGTACCACGCAAATCCGCTTTGGAGGGAATGGATGGAATGGCTTTGCGACAACTTCAGGTGAAACGCCCTTTGTCAAAGACGCTGAGTGAGCCTTCTGACGCATCCCGTTAAGGCTTCACAGAGCGCTCTACTAGGCGTTTCTGGACCGTACTAGTAGGACAAAATGAAAGCGAAATTGTTTTTAGAACGCTTCTCAATCTCAATCTCACAGTCCATCACGGTCCAGTTATCGCAAGTTCCCCTCTTGAATACTCTTGGGATAGACTAGCTCAAGGTAGGAGTGCAGTCCCTCTAAGGGAGGTGCACTGCTTGTGCGTCTAAACTGTTTGAACGCGCAATCGGCAATCTGAAACTCTCTTCGACAAGCTCGACAGTTGCTGCTTGAAAACATTTCCTGCCCAACGTTCTGCAATGAGATGAACGTGAGTTGTGAGTTGCCATTCGCTCTGAACAACCTGCCCTATCTGCCCTATCTGCTCTTGCCGCGTCTTTCTTTGGACACGGCCTTGGCTGAGGATGGAGACCCTCTGGGACTGTGGCAGATGTCTGAAAAGGCATGTCATGGGGTGGCATGGTATGGCAAAGCAGCAGCTCCACTTTTCTTGTCTCCACGTCGCCACGTCGTCTTTGATTCACGATTTGCGTTGCCTCAGGTGCCCAAAGAATGGGTTGATTTTTCGCATGGTGGAAAGCCAGCCAGAGAAAGGCCTCGTCTGGTGATGCCTCAAACTTAAGACTTAAGAGTCCTTAGAAAGACACTCTTGGCTTTGAAGATGACTGGGACGCCTCTTTTGTCCTTCATCACTCGATGCTGTCACAGTACAGTGGATCTGCTCTAATTATAAGTTTTCCACTTGTGATCCAAGGATCGTGTGAAGTTCAGTAGGAATTTTGTTGACTCCGAGTAATGCAGTCAGCCACTGCTGGGTTGGATCACCCAATGTTCGGGGGCCTGGAGGCTGCATGTGACCTTTGCCCTGCGAATGATGAAGATCGAACACATGGACAAGCTGGAGAAGGCAAGCGGCAAGAGTCAACGGATCATCTTGTATCATGTATCATCACGTCTCCTGAAAATGAATAGACACTTGTCTAGTAGTTTGTTAAACCATTTGGATCCATTTGGATCTACTTGGATCCATTTGATGCTGGGTTACATCATCCTATTTCACTGGGATCCATGCTCAGCCTCAATGAGGATATTGGTATATATTGGTCAGAAAGGGCCAGATGGGGGATGTTGTCCATAGACATCATAGACAAGGCTGGCTGATAGTCATTAATATTCCATGTCTTCACGCCATGAGGTTTGTGGAGATGCTGGACCCGTTGAGCTCAAAGTGAAGGAATTCTTTCTGTCCTTGGTGGAGCGCATCAGGCATGTGTGCCTGGAATGACATAAATAATTTATAAATATATAATTTATATTAATGTATAATACATAAATATATACATAGATTATCATGAGTCAATCATGAGTCATAAAATGGCATACATGCAAGGCAATCCAATAGAGATAGTGGTGAAGGTTGCCTCCATGGCATGGCATACGTTGTGAGTCTCACAGAATTGTCTCGGCAAAAGACAGCCATGTCCATGACCAACTGGACTCAGGGACGCCGAAGTCTATTGCATAGGAGCTGGGCATTCATATGCATTCATAGCATCCTTCTTCTACGAAGAATTTTGTCATTCAAAGAACCAGGCATCCAATATTGTACATATTGTATCCTACTACTCGTATCATATATTTATTCGATTTTATTCGTACAAAAAGAAATCCTGCATCAAGTGGGCCTATAGTATTCTTGTGATGCCACCAGGAGTTGCCTTCGAAAGCCCTGGCCTTCGTGCTTTGAAGGAGATGAATCCGTGCAGAAATCGATAGATCCCCAAATATTCTAGCTTTGGGGATGCTGTAGCACTGCCTGTGTTGGTATTGCTATGACATTTTTCATACTTTTTCAATCTTTTTCATACATTTTCTATTTCCTTTTTGCACTCTTCCTCATTGTGTTTTTACATATCACCCTCGTCTATCTTCCATGTCCTATTCCGTGGTAACGTTTTGTGTCCAAAAAAGGCTTGCGGGGTCTGAATACCAATACGCATGGCATGAAAAAAACACATTTGTGGAATTGCATTTTCCTTCTCAGTTCCTGATCATGCTTAAGTGTCATATTCTACCAAATGGATCCATCAGGTCTTGTTTTTTCCCCACCTGCCAGGTGAGGGTTGTTAGATTTTATGTCAGTTGCCTCCTCGTCCTCCTCCTCCTCCTCCTCCGCCTCTTCTCCTCCTCCTCCTCGTCCTCCTCGTCGTCCTCGTCGTCCTTGCTCAACTGCGACCCGCGATCCACATTGTTCTCTGCCGGACCTCAACCACGACCATCCACGCCCAGTGTTCCCTGCCGGACCTCAACCAAGACCATCCGCGCCCAGTGTTCCCTGCCGGACCTCAACCACGACCATCCGCGCCCAGTGTTCCCTGCCGGACCTCAACCACGACCATCCCCGCCCAGTGTTCCCTGCCGGACCTCAACCACGACCATCCACGCCCAGTGTTCCCTGCCGGACCTCAACCGCGAGTATCCACGCCAAGTGTTCCCTGCCGGACCTCATATAGGAAGATAAAATGTCAGAAGAGTGCCAGAAGATTTGCCAGGTAGAATGCCAGAAAATATGCCAGAAGATATGCCAGATAGAATGCCAGATATGCCAGAAGATATGCCAGATAGAATGCCAGATATGCCAGAAGAATAGAATGCCAGAAGATATGCCAGATAGATATGTCAGAAGATATGCCAGAAGATATGCCAGAAGATATGCCAGAAGATATGTCAGAATATATGCCAGAAGATATGTCAGATAGAATGCCAGAAGATATGTCAGAATATATGCCAGAAGATATGCCAGATAGAATGCCAGAAGATTTGCCAGATAGAATGCCAGAAGATATGCCAGAAGATATGCCAGATCATATGCCAGAAGATATGCCAGATAGAATGTCAAATAGAATGTCAGAAGATATGTCAGATAGAATGCCAGAAGATTTGCCAGTAAGAAAATGTATAAATGTCATGGTGGGGATCACACGAAGTAAAGTAATTCAGTTTTTTTTAAATTTTATTCCCACCCCTGGTTCCCACACAAATCAGGGTCACAGTATATAAAGGTCGCTGCTCAGGACATGTGGTTGGAAGGCATGGACGAGTCACAGAAGCGCAGCCATGATCCATATCCCACGAGTGCGTGATCCTTACTGAACGGAGAAACACATAGGACAAAATTGCAATCTTCATTAGGAAGGCACAGTCGGTGCTCATATTTCAATCTGCATTTTTCTGAGAGGCTAAGTACTGGTAGATTAGGTACACATGTAGAAGACAATTTGAAGCATACTTTTTCACAAGCTGAGACTGAGGATGGGCACGTATCTTTGGCCTACATTCAGGCGGTTCGGTTCGGATTCTTGTGGCATACCAAGACAGCTTTGGTTGACTTGGGCAGAGGCAGCTTCCTACGAGCAAGCCAAAGACTTTGTGGATGCAAACAGGCAGGTTGCAATAGTTGCATGTGTTGCAAGATGCCATGCCTCTTGCCACCCAATCAGTCGAAGCAGTGTTAGTGGTCTATCTATGTTTGTCTAGACGCGATCCTACTTCGTACATGTCTATAGGAATTCGGGACCATGCAGCGTTGTTTTGATTGACTGCTTTGCTGTCCTGCAGTCGAGCAGGAGTACCATGGAGGGACGCAGCTTCATGGTGGATGCAATCACCTACGAGGAAAGCGAGCAGGGATTGGACAATCATCCACATGCAGGCAATGTAGGAAAGGAGTTGCAGAGTCGATGCTGGAACAACTATGTACTAAGCGGGTCGTCAAGCAGTGCCTATCAGATTTTCCCAGTCCCATCAAATTGGATTTGTAGTGAAAACATACAATACATTTGGACACTACGTAAGCTTGTCCCTCTTTTTCAGGGCATGGGCCACTGTTGATCCACAGGATGACCGAAGGGAGCGGACGTATTTCAAGCTGACTGGCGATGGAGGCAAGGAGCAAGACCTGCTTAGGGCTCAGGATGGTGTTCCACAACAACATACAACATCAACATCTATGTGTGTCTATGTATTGTATGTCTATAAATGTCTATAATATGTATGTACAGTATTCACGCTTAGAACAGTACGCATGATGCGCCCTGCCATATCCTACAGCACGAGGCATGACTTCCATCTCATTCGCGCCACCTTTGACGAAAGCCTTTGATGCCAGGACCATCACCTCCCAAAGCTGCCAGGACGGGCTGCACAGAAGGGGGGGACAGAGGGAGAGAAGTTCCCCACATTGGAATTTGCCAAGCTGTTGGCTCAGGCAGTCAGCTGCCAGCCAAAGCTCCATAGTGGAGGTCTGCAGACATGGCTGAATGGACTGTGAGTATAGTTTATTTTATATGGTTTTGTATTTAATATCTATAGTCTATAGGTTTGCAATGGTTTCCATATTTGGTCCTTGTCACTTTTGGCCAATGCTTGGAACGCTAGGTGGATGGCTCTGTGCTTGAAGGTGGTGGACAAATCTTGAGAAACTCTTTGGGTTACGCCAGGGGCCTGGGTGGATGTGGGTCAAAATGGAAGACGGATGTGGGACCACAGATGTGAATGTCTAGTTTAGTATTAACCATCCAATTATTGGGGTACCTAATTTTGACCCATACCCATATTTCGGTGTGGTTTTCTTTCTTAAGTTGGAGACCTGGAGACATGAGTTTTCTCTTCATGAATCATATGAATCCCATCTTCTGCAGGCTGCCATTCTCGGATACCCAGCAACTTGGCTTCAGTCTTTTGTTGCAATCATGATCCTGGCAATGGAATGCAATGGACAATTTCTTCGTGACTCTCCAGGTGCGCATCAGCAAGATCCGCGCTGGCCGGAAAACTCCTGGCCTTGCTGCACAGCACTTGGAGTCCTTCAAGCTGGCTTTTGCCTCAGTTCCTGGAAAATTGTTGGCATCATTTGCCTAATATTGCCCAATGGCATTGCGAGAATTGCGGGATGCGGGGAATACGGCCATAGGACAAGTGGAGTCTGTGACATGCCCAGTCAGGTGCGTGACTTGACCTCTGCGACTTTGGAAGGAGACAAGGCGCCTTTTGGGACAGGGCAAGCTTAACCCAGTTGTGATGTCGTTTTACGCTGAACCCAGTTGGTCGTCATGTGATGTCGGATGGTACCGCTTGACATCGCTTGACAATTTGAGAATCTTGAGCCCCACCGCAGGTAGGGTCATGCGAAGTTACTTTTGCGCCAAAGAAGCTGAAGGAGGCCGCGGAGTGACTTCACATCTAAGTTGACTGAACGATTTGTACAGGAATCGACTCTGACATCGACTACCATTTGCCAGGGAAGCTTTTCAACCAACCCCAAGACAGCAGGTGCCATCACTTTGACTGTCCAGGCACGAACATCAGGATGTGTTGGATATTTCGAATTTTTGTTGTGTCTACAATGTCTACAATCTTCAAAAATCTAATCTTGTCCTATTAGATCGTAATATTGTGTAATATTGTGCTTGCCATTTTGGCCATATTTTTCCCATATTTTGCGGAGTTGGAGCGGCTTGGACCGGATTGGACTGGCTTGGACCCGGTTGCCAGTTCTGGCATCCCGGTTGAGCTGGCTACAGGCAGCACTCTTTCCGCTGGCTTTCACTGGTGCCACATCGGAGGCAAGTGGCTACGGAGTTTTTCACTCTTGTTGCCATTAATATCATTAATGATTTCGTGAATCAAGGACAAAACACTACAAAACAATACAAAACAATACAAAACAATACAATACATATGACCTTCTCCTGCTTGGCAGGTTGAAATGAGGGGAGGCACAGATGTCGACTTTTCACCGTACAGCTGCCTTGTTTTTTCGTCCACAACACGGCTGAGCTCGCGGCTGGTACGTTTTTCAAAACTGTAAACAGGTCAACAATGGTAAACATCACAATTTTGCCAGGCCGTTTGACTTCATGGTGCGGGTGCGCACGGCTTTCTTGTCAAATCAAACGAGGATGCTTTGAATGAGTTCTACAATATTGTATGACATATAAATATACGTACACACACATATATAATCATATATATATATGTTAATATATATATAGACTATATACATACACAATATTATAAACAAGTACATATTATATGATGCTGTGAGTTCAGATGTCAGGTGTTACTTGCTTTGTTGTTTGTCTACTTGCCTGCAACGCCTAGCTTCCCCAATTATAAGGCCCTGGCTCCTATGGTCGAGAAAATGGGTGTCAGATCCTAAAGCTTTGCAATCACATATGTCATGGCCATGTGTATTCCACAGTTTTGCTATAATTATACAGTGAAAATTTCTCACCAAATCGCACGAGCCGATGCTTTCCTTGTCTTTTCTTGCCATGGCTCAATGAACAACAGACACGGAGAGACACATTTTGCATGGTATTGGGATATTTGGGGATGTATTCGGTGCGTTCATGTTTGTTAAGTGTCGCGACATGTCGACCACGTAAGGTGAAAGTGACCGCCGATTGTCAACATCGCGGCTTCTTTCCCACTGGAGGCGAGACAGTGTCCGTATGAGTTACAAACTTCTCTGGAAGGATGACGCCCAGAGAAAGGATTTGTTGTAGACACTGTAGACAGTGTAGTAGACTATGAGAAACAGTTTATCTTGTATTGGAAGGTTTCAAGATTGAATATCTTCTTGGAAACAAGAATTTGCCGTTGCGATGCAAGGTGGCTTGGTGAACCTTTTTGTCGATGGCCTGAAAGGCTCAGAATGGCTTGTAGTTTGACGGTTCCCTTCATGAAGCAGCGTCGCAATGTAGTATTTGTAAATCAATGTAAACCAAATCTTGCGGACCAGTTGTGGAGTTCACATAGCAGCCTATTGAGCAACCAAGAAGCACATGATTTGGCCCTTTCCCCTTTGAACCTTTGACTTCAGCATGTTGCCAGGCACCTTGAAGCCAATCGTGATAGACAAGCGAGGGCATGTCAGCAAAGTGGAGGCCAGCTACGAAACACAACGAAACACATGACGAAACACATGGATGGCAAAAGAATTCCAAAGGCCCAAAGAAGTATTGTCTGAAGACATCCAATGATATTGATGGAGAGAATTTGAGAGAATCCTCACAGTTGTGCAAGTGCTGTTTCCAGGCCATTTGTTATGCCACCCCACCAAGCGGCTGGCTAGAGGATGAAGATGTCAGCAGGCAGTGCAAATGTTGCCCGCTACTGTAGTGCAATATCGTGGCTTCAAAAAAGACACCATTGAATATCCACCTGAACACTGAATGGTATTTCCGTGTATTTCCATTGAATGGTATTTCAATATATTTCAATAATTTTCAACATAATATATACGTATATATAATATTTCAATATATTTCAGTCAGTTTAAATAAAATTTCACCCAGAGAAGAACACTTCATTCATCCAGTGCCAGGACTGAGGATGATTTTGAGCCCTGGCTTCTGGAGGACCGGGATGGGAAAGGCATGCTCGCAATACATCGAATCCTGGTGGCACAGTCTTCATCGCAAGGAGCTGGCGGATCGCGACGGGCCAAAGCCAAAGGCGTGCAGCCTTAGGCACCATAGTTATCATAGTTATCATAGTTATGGTTATCATAGTTGTACAGTCAGATCATCCTTCTTTTTTGGAGTTTTCTGAAATTTTCTGAATCCGACCTAGGGCTGAAAGAGGTCGAAGGGACATGTTCAAATGGAGTCCAATCCAATGATTTTCGGGTAAGGGAGGTACCAGCAGCAAACAGTAAAGCGGGACATCAAATACTGGTCAGGTGCAGGTGACTTGCGAACCTCAGCAGATGCCAGAGGGTCAAAAGGCCCAACTGGGGAATGCATCAGCAGTGAGACAGGTGAGACAGCATGACTTGATGCCAAATCGTTTGGGATGTTTGGGTTTGACATGGGTTGATTCACCACCGGCCTTCCATGATCATGCATATGCCATTGCCATGCACTGATGTGAATTGAATTGAATTGATACGTATAACTTGATCGTCCTAAGCAAAGTAGTGGTCACGTTGTAGCCTCGCCCCGGGGAACGTCCATCCCCTGCAGGTGTTCAAGGCCAGCTGTGACATTCTGGCAATGGACCCAGACATTTGCAGATGCTGTTCCATTGGAAGACGTTCAAATTGTACCGCACCAATAGGTGAATTCTTGATTGCAAAAGATGTCGCAACTTGTTCGACAACCTGTTTGAGGTTCATATGTCCGGTGGCGGTGTATTTCATGCATCTGGTGGGCCTTTGGATGGGCCGAAGGCTCGTGTATGAAGGAAACTGTTGCCGGGGTGTACAAGAATCATCGTTTATGTAGATGAGCGCCAAATTAGCAAAACTGAGAAGTGATGCCACAGTTTGCAGCATACTCGTAACTAATTACTACTGTAATCGTATAACTTTACATTGAGAAGAGAACACTAGTTCGTGATCCATCCGCACTTTGCAGGGACGCGGCTCGTTGTACGAGATCTGGGGTGCTTCTGCAGAGAAAGCGCCAGAGGCCTGGATGGTACTGACAGAACTAAACTGCAACTTAGCAGCAGCCTGCTATAGCTGCAGCCTTCAGCGCTTTTGTTTGTTATTTGATATTGGTATGACTTCACCGAGCCTGGTGCTTATTTACTAAGGCTTGCTTCTCTAAAGAAGCAGCTGAAGACCGGAGCAGCCCTGGACGAGCACCTTCTGGACATTGGGACTCGGGAGCTGTTTCAACAAGCTTTGATTCAAGCATTGCCGTTCCACACTTTTCTAGACTTGGTGATGGTCTGAAAGTCCAAATTGCGAAGGGATGGTGGTCGCAGTTCTATATCAAATATCTCATAATAATATCCTAGTGTTTAGAAGGCAAGGTTCATCACAGTTTCCACGACTTATACTATCTTATATATGAGATACGGTCAAAATAAGCGTAGACTACTTTAATAAGGGAGGGTCCAGTTGTGTCCAGAAAGTGCACCAAATCATGTAAAGCGATAGCCCCGCCCAAAAAGCGATAACTTGTAACCATATGAGAGTGCCTTAAACTTGATGTAAACCAAGAACATATTGTTGCACACCTTCACGCGATGGGCAAAATTGATAAAGACAATTCAACCTGCAGTGCCCACGTTTCTTGCAGTGGCCATGTCTTTTGTTGTCCAAGGTGGCTGAACCGTTGCTTTCTGCAGGCAGTTTGTTTTTTTTCTCCCAGGTCCCAAAGCATTAGAATTAAACCAAACTAAACGCAATTGAATTTTGAATTAAATCAAAACATAGTTTTTAAATCAATTCTGAATTCCGTCTATGTGCTGTATAATTTGATTTGAAATTCGTCTTCCTTTGTTTCCTTTTTTTTCTTACCTTCCTTTTTCCTTTTACTTTCCTTTTTAAGACTAAAGGCAATTATTTGAATTCTGAAGTATAAGTCAAAATTAATTTTGAATCCAATTCTGAAATTCTGAATTCCATCTATTTCATTTTTTCCTTTTTGTTTCATTTGTCCGTCCTTTTTTTCATTTCCTTTTTCTCTTCCTTTCTTGATCATCCTGGTGTTCTAATTTAGCGATAACCTAGCGATAACCTTTTGTTGAAAAGGGACCCCGGACGAGGGATAGACTCATTTGACCACAGCCATATCCTTTTTCGTTTTCATAGAATTATTGATCTTATATGGGTTACTGCCATTCTAGTTTGGAGTTGAGATTGTAACAATTTTCCTTGCTTAGGAAAAGTCTAGGAATGTGCTTAGGTAGCTCCCCAACATGGTTGCAAACGCAAAGACAACGAGCGCCCCCTTCATCCATCCCCGGCAGCTTAGAGATCTGAATCCGTGAAACCAATTCCGCAGCATTTTTGCATTATTTAGTGCTGATTGAAGAAAACACTGCAAAGCAATAGGCTCCCCCAAAAAAGCGATAACCTAATATTTTCGTACCACGCATCAACAATATTGATTTTGACGGCGGCTCATATTTGGAAATATACACTTATATCATCTTATATTCTTATATCATATTATTTCCATTGTCAATGTTGTGTTTTCTTGCAAGCGATTCAATTCCAGGGCTGCGCTTCAGCTGCCTTTTCAAGTTCGGGTGTTTTGCAGTCCAGCTATCTCCAGCTCTTTGGCACAGCCAACCTTGACCAGGTTTTGTCCATGTTTGTCCGCATTTCAAACTGCTGGTCCCACAGCCTGTCGCCAGGATCAGTTGATTTTGCCTGCTACATTGGCCGAGGGGACTTCACGTCTTCTGGGGTCCAAGGCGAAACTGTGACTGTGTGTCGGAACGAGTCGGAACGAGTCGGAACGAGTCGGAACGAGTCGGAACGAGTCGGAACGAGTCGGAACGAGTCGGAACGAGTCGGAACGAGTCGGAACCGTGGTGCTGATATGTGCTGATACCTCCAAACTTGTTGGGATTTGTTGGGGTTGGGGTGTTGTTGGGTTTGTTATGTTTGTTGGTGGGTTGTTGTGTTGATTCTGGCATCTTTAAGGACAATGTTAGAATGGAAGTAGCTGTGCACGCACGCTTGGTGCTGTGGTGGCCAGGAACTGACTCTTCATGCTATGATCTCAGCATGGTGAGTTCATGGAATTAGAACCTGAACCATTGTGTCGGACCAAGACAGGACCGCGCAATCTCTACACATGAGTAAATTTTCTTCCAGTATGTTCAGGTTTGTTCTCGGTTGAGACAGGACAAACCTTGAATTGTGCTGGAGTGCAAGTCTTTGATATGCAGCATCTTTCGCCAAATTGAGACGACCAAGGCCCAGACAGCTTTGTACATTGCGGAGAAAATGGTTCCGGGTGTTGGCATCAAGGCAGGTTGGGCGATGGATTTCTATGGATTTCTGCTGATAGGACATCTCTAGACCAAACAGACTGATTCCAGACTTTCCAGACTGATTCGACTCCTCATATCCTGGTCTGTCTCGGTCATGGAGTCCTAGCTTGGAGTCCTGATCAGGTGACTCCAGGACCGTCTGGCTGGGCCCCAAGCTTTCTGACCGAAAACTTGCATGATTTTGCATGATTTGACGACATTTGACCGTTGATACTTCAAGAAAGCGGAGCATTGAATGTGTTTTTGCATGTTTTCGTGGAATTGAAAGACTGGCCAGTTGCAATGGCCCCATCCTCTCTTTCTGATATCTGCATCATTTATCATATTGCTGTACATGTCTAAGTAGTGTTTTAGTATACCCGTTGAAATTTTTGTTACTAAATCTGAGGCCTCAGGGCCGTTACAGAATGGTTTTTGGCTACCATTTTGTGCAAAATTTTGACCCTGGGTTCTGCCATCTTGTAAGTGGACCCCCCCTGGTACCGGAATTTTGCATTGGAAGTGCGAGTTTGTTACCCTCCAGTCCCGACCATTCTGTCGGAGTCTGGAGGGCTAATCAATAACCACTACAAATTGAATGGATTCAAAGCGTAAATGGATAATACTCAACTATAGCCCCTACAAACTGGATGGAATCAAAAAATCGCAGAATAATTTTCATAGCCTTGGGTGCAGGGCTTGGGAGAGGCCTTGAAAAGTCTGATGCGTCTGAGTGGTCATGAATGCTCGAGATGAGTCACATCTATTTAAATATATATATATATGATATATATATAATATATATTATTATTAAATATATATTATATTATATATATATATCGATATTTATATTTTTTGATTATGACATCCAACGTTGTATTTAATGTTTAGCTTGGCCACTCAGACAGCGTCACGCCAAAACAGACGGATGAACGCAAAAGAACGGAAAAAATGAACCGCGACTCGGGTTGGCCGGGCTATTGCAGGTTACTTCCCAGGGATCCTAGGATAGTGCGAGTATAGCCACCCCCAGTCCCCACCATTCTGTAAAGGGCAAATCAAGCCAATGGATGCGAGCGGATGCGAGTCGAGCAAAATCGGTGACTCATTTTGTAACTAGGGGTCAGATAATATATATACATATATATATATATATCGATATATTTATATTTTTTGATTATGACATCCAACGTTGTATTTAATGTTTAGCTTGGCCACTCAGACAGCGTCACGCCAAAACAGACGGATGAACGCAAAAGAACGGAAAAAATGAACCGCGACTCGGGCTGGCCGGGCTGTTGCAGCTTACTTCCCAGGGATCCTAGGATAGTGCGAGTATAGCCACCCCCAGTCCCCACCATTCTGTAAAGGGCAAATCGAGCCAACGGATGCGAGCGGATGCGAGTCGAGCAAAATCGGTGACTCATTTTGTAACTAGGGGTTAGCTTGGACTGCCATTTTGTAACAAAAACCTTCCTCGGTGAACGTTGGGTTCTGCCAACTTGTAAGAAGGGCACCTTGGGGACGCCGTTCTGTAGCTACAAAATGGGGCTCCCAACCCCTCGGGTCCAATCTGAACGGGGATGTTTTAGCATTGATGCATTACAATGCATTGCACACCAATAGAATAGAAACCCATGTACTGATGCGCCAAGGTTTGCAGCTGGTGGAGATTACCGGCATTGGCCGCAAGGTGGGCGCTCCGCCGGGACCCCAACGCTGAAGGTGGAGAAGATGTTCTTCTGTAGCCTTGTAACAAGACGTTTTAGGAAGGGTTGGTTGTGGAATCGAAGCAATATGAAACAATGCTTCAAACATCTTCAAACTAGATTAAATCATCAAAGACTTCCCTATCAGCGTAACACCGCGGCGAATAGAAAATACTCGAAGAGACCCGACTCGAGAGATGGATAGAAATGGATCAGATATGGGTATGGGCAATATCTGCCCATTAGTTTGGCGCGACCTGCTTGGACGAGCACTGAGACCTTTGCCGCCGACTCCAGCTACTTCATCTGGCAACATGACTGGGCAACTGCCGCCTGGACCTTGGTGTATCGGTTTGGGCTTTCACTGGGAATCACTGGGAATCACTGGGAAAGTGGAAGGTGGACATGTCTGGCACGGTGCCAAGTTGGGGAATACACAGTCCACGTATGTCTGCCTTGTAGACAGCATTATAGACACCTGCAAAGTCAGAGAAAAGTGCATAGTTTCACAAGGCCACGGCCAAGATGGCTCGGTGGCATTGCGGCATCATGTGTTGCCGGACACTCTGTCTGGACAAGTGTATGAAAATCACAATAATTATACTTATTTGGTTGGTCCAATCCTTTTTGACCAACTTGACCACTGGTACCAGCATCTTCCAGTCCTTTAAACATGAAGGGCCAAAAAATTGGCCGTTTTGTTGGAAACCTTTGTAAAACAATGACGCTCCGAAACCTACTAGAACCCGCAACAACATGAATAAAGCCCGCTGAGGTTGGCTTGAGATGTATCACGCAAGAATTTGCATGAAACTAGAGCCAAAGTTGCCCTGGAAACACACATACTCCTGGGTTGGATGTGCAAAACATGGAGGGTTTCACCTGTTTGGATTTTGACCGAGGCCTGGTACGCTAAGCAAGGACCGAGACTCAGCATGGTGCCAGGGCAGGGACACAAAAGCAAATGAAGGCAGCAATTTTTTGCTGGCGCGGGCGCAGAAGAAAAACTTCCACAAACATATTCCAGTGCAGCTTTCCCACATTGTTACAACTGAAATCTGCAACTTTCCTGAGAGCTGAGGCCCAGGAACATCTTCTCAACACTCTGCGAGGGGATTTGGGACACCTCTCAGCCAATTTCGCTTTGCGAGTGGAGGCAGAGGTGCCCAGTGCGCATCAGTGCGCTACGATTTGTCGTTGGCCAGGTTTACACTGGGACAAAGAGCTGTCTGAGCTGTCTGAGCTGGGTAAAAAAAGAGCTGTTTTTGAGACTAGTCTTGTGGCATCAAAAATGGCCATAGCCAAATATAGCCAATATACTCACTCTTTTCCATATTTTCTGACGTTTTCCATCGTTTTCCTGTCCCGTTTGGATTGTCAAGGTTACTTGTAGGCTGCGAAATGATGATGTATGTCACAGGGTGTGTGTGTGATAGGGTTCCAATGTTGGCTGACCGGGAGGCTGCCTCAGACAGCTTCCGCATCCAGGGCTGCGAGGGGCCCGATCATGCTGCAGCGGTGCAACAAGAACTGCAGGCGGAGTTGTGATATCCATTGAGCAGATGTGATCAGAAATTCATGTTCAAATGTGTCTTCCATGGTTTTTCATACCGACATATCCCGACCAGAAGCACAGAAATAGCCCTGTTGTACTTTATTTATCATCTATTAAAATCTATTATGATATTGAATATCAAATTGGCATGTTCGTGTAGCATCTGACATTGTAGCAGCATGTAGCACCTGACACCTCCCAATTGCGTCGACATCCCGAGGGCATCTGCAAGTACTACAACTTTCCACCGCCTCAATGGCGTCCAAGCTGAGGGGCAAGCTGTAGATCCCTGGAATCCCTGAATCGTCGAACCTGGAGATGTTCCTTTCACGCCCTGACCATCCAGAACATTCCAGGACCAAATAGAACCAATCTTCAACCTTTCTTTATTTCAACATGTGAATTGTGAAGATATATTTGTGTGGTCTTCAAAGTTCTTTGATTCTTTGACGGAACTGAGTCTGTGAAGCACATCTCCAAGTCTTGCTCCGAGCCTTTCGTGATGAAATAGTTTGGTGCGACTTTCCGGTGCCATTGCGGAGTCCGCGAATTGCGTGTGACACTGCAAAGGTATGCGGCAAGATAAACCACAGCGTGCAGAAAAGTCCCTTAAAACTTAAAACATCTTAAAACGAAAGGCAAAACACCTGTCTGCAGAAAAATCGTTTCACTAAGTATGTTTTCTCTCAAAGAAACACCGACGATGTAGCCTTTTCCTTCACACTTATCGATCGTACCGGGACCTGGAGATTCTTTTGCAGCTCAGGTGTTCCTATGCGGAGTCCGTAGATCATCAGCTTCACGATAGCAAGCAGACACTCTCACTTCTGGACGGCCGCACCACTCCCAGTTACATGACGCACACGGACAAAAGCCACAACAGTGTTCAACAGACTCCTGGACGGTGGCATACGGTGGCATACCGTCGCCCACTCTTGCAGACTGTGGATCAGTGTGGCACAAGCTGAGAATCGTCAATAGATGTTGAGGTCATGTGGTGCTGGAGCAAAGGCTTGCAAGGCAGAAAGCTGTTCTGGTGGATCTTCTGACTGGTCGCTCAAAGGTGGGCTCAGCACCAGGGCACGGCCGTATTGCTTTAGCAGGACAGGACTCTTCATGGAGGTGGTGTTTTGAAGGATGATGGATTGCTATGATTGCGAAGTGTGAGTCAAGTCCACCATTTCAAACAAACGACCCTTGCCAAGCTGAAGATACGACCAGCCTTTTTGTTTGCAACTTTTGCTGGATCGGGTTGGTACAGTATCATTTTCTATCGCTCCTATTTTTCAGTCTCGCTTCTCAACTGCTTGCGATCAGGTGCAGCTAATGGGCACAGTGCTGCGTTGCTTTTTGGCCAGCTGCTTAGACAGCTTTGGGGTGCCAGAGTTGGAGAATGCTGATTTGGTCATTGCGATTTGCTTTCTACTGGAGTATCTTACCCATTCTTATCCATTGTTTTCATATTTGGTCGAAGATCTTTTAGGCTCAGCATGATGGAAAGCTGAGCTGTTTGGTGGAGTTTTTTTGGAGATCATCCTGCTAGTGCTTGAACAATTCTGAAATCTCTGCTTCATGTCAAGCCGGCAATTCTTGGATAACTTGTCTTATAATGTCTTATACTTGTTTCAAATTGTTGTCCAGATACTCCCAGGCTTGGTGCCAATGGTTGGTTGAAGCGAAGACAAAGAAAAGGAAGGAAGTGCAAGCAGCCAGGATGCGGACAAAGCCGGAACCTTACGATCCGGGGAAGTGCCCAGTTGTCAAGGTCGTCATTGAGTCGTCATACAAGCAACCCTCTTGATGCTTTTGTGATGCTCCTGTACAGCACTCGCATCAAAGGACCTGATGCAACCTTAGCCAACACCAGACTAATTTGAAAGATCCCTTACAGATTACAGTTTGTACTACACATATCAATGGGTACCGGAAATCATTTCCATGTTATCAACGTACAAAATAAGCATCAAAAAAGCTTTGTGTTGTTAAGATCATTGCATTGAGGTTGGATGACGAAGCCAACCATGCGCAAGGCACGCTTTTGTTGGCTATATAATCTACTGTACATCATCATTGAATGTTGCGTGGCCAATTCTTGCTTGTAGTTCATTATTTACACATTACTATCATTTATTATCAGTCAGCATTGTCAGGATCGTTACCGGCTTGTAGCTCGCACATAACTTGCTGCCAGAAGACTGGCAGTACAATCACCTCATCGGCTGTAGGTTTTCACACACACACACATACACACACACACATTTTTTTCTCCATCATTTTGCATCACCTTCGCTATTTTTGCTTGCGTTACATTGTTGCATTATTTGTAATTACCACTTGGCATTCCTACTGGACTTGGGTGACTTCGGTGCCAAATCTGCAGATTGGAGGCCGAGCTTTGAGAGCCTTCCACATGACGAAGAATCGCGCGGTCAATCTGCGAAAGGCCTGGAACTTGGAGTGTGACTGGCCTCGCGGCTGGCAGTGCTTTGATGCTCATGATAATCATTAATTACAGTAGTAATTATTAGTATCCCCCTCTCTAAATATATTTTGACTGATTATTGCATATTTGTTTGCACATTATATATATCATATATATTATATATAACATATATATTATATATATTATAACACATATATTATATATAACATATATATATATAAACATAAACATATGTTTTAGCATGTCATTGTTGATATTGTTGTGTTTGATGCAAAGGTATTGATTGCACATATGTGTCTATGGGACGACCCAGGGGAGCACAATTTTTGGCCCGGTAGTATCCGGTAGTATTCGCCACCCAACTTTTGTGGCGGTACATGGCAGTACTCAATTTTGATCATTTTGATCTATCCCACGTACTAGTAGGTCATCGTGCTAGTACGGACAAATTCTCATTCGCTCCTGGCCTGCTCCGGGCCTTCATAATGTCTTTGAATGTCTTGGACATTCGATCTTTGTGTGATTTGCACCCCTCAGGTTGCTGATATACTTTTAGAGTACCAGGTGAAGATGACAAAGGCCAGACATGGAAAGCAAATGCGTTGGCATGCGACAAGATTGACAAGATCAAGGAATCGAAATTCATAGGAGCTTATGGAGCTTGAAAGAGTTTCACGGCATTCATTTTGACAGGTGCACCTGTTTCTATCCTGGCGATTGTGCAAAGAACAGCAGACCGTGCCACGACTGCAGATCAAATCCATCCTCCAGAGCGCACGTGATGTGGATGTTTAGCAGGAATATGATGGAATATGCAGGAATCTTGTAACATCTTGTAACAAGAAATCTGGAAATCTAAGGCCCCATCAGAGACAGCTCCGGCCGGGTTTTCAGTCAGAGCAGGGTTTGCTTCTCGCTGTTTTGCCCTAGTTTGCGCAACCTCCGAGGATGTAAGCGGACCTGATGAATGTATTTTTCATTTTCCGCCATATTCTTCATACTGCGCTCATGTTGCAAGGGTTGATGCATGTTGATGCATTTTGCATCAAATGCTGAGGCTGAGGCTGAGACCGAAACCTTTTCAAAAGCTTGGTATGACCACAAAGAAGAGCTTCAGAGACAAACAGAACAGGCCTGATATGGCCTGACAGCTTGAAAGACTTGAGGTTGTTGCAGCTGTTGCATGGGTTACCCTCTGGTAATTTAACATAACTATGGAAAATCACCATTTTTAATGGGAAAATCCACTATAAATGGCCATTTTCAATAGCTATGTTAAATTACCAGAGGGTACATGACAAGGCTTCCTGATTCCTGATGCTTCTTGTATGTTGCAGTCTCAGTCTGAGTCATGTCCATGGTTTGTGACCTGCATCATCGAGGTCATTGAACAGATGCTGGATACGGACGCGCAAGAGAGCGCCATCATGGACCAGGTTGACTGCTTTGCTGAGCAAGGGTGCAGTGTTTGTTTTTGGACATGGCCTGACACATTGCCATGGAATTCAGGGTTTTGCAGGCTGTACTACATGAAGTAATGATGATCTCGTGAGCACTCATCATCATATACATGTACACTAAACTGCAAATTTCCGCACATGTTCTTGTGATTTGTGTTGGATTGGTTGGCTTCAATTCACGTCTCTGTGCTTTTACGGTTCTGTGTCAGCTACTTAGCTACTTTGGAGGCAATTGCCCAGGCAGAGCGCGTGGCAGAATCTGTTGCGGAGAAGATGTACAGGCGATTTTGGAGTATTAAACAAACACAAAAATGACACAACATGCATCAAAATAGCAGACCATGGTGGACCATGGTGGACCATGGTAGACCATTGTTTGAACCTCATCATGAACCTTCAAGCATTATCAATACCACTGGAGGCAGCTGTGCATGGAATTGGTGAAGGAGACCTTCAACAGCTGGCGCAGCTGGTACCAGGACGAGTTGTGGGCCAGGAAAAGGCGGACTTTGAAACCAGCTCTGAACTCTGGCCGCAAGATGGATATGGGGATGGGTCAAAACCCTGGTACCTAGTGAACCCCAAAATAGCTGGTAAATGGATGTTCATCCCACTAAAAATGTATCTATAGATAGGTATTGACCCATACTAATATGTATGGAGGAGAAGAAGAGGTCGCAAGCAGAGAAAGAAGCTGAGGCCAGTTTTCGACTCACATGTTCAACGCAATTCACACCCTTATTCGCTGATTTTGCATGATGTGTCGCTTTGTTTTATGATGTTTTATCCATGGAAGGCAGCCAGAGCACACAGTGTACAGACGCAGCAGGTCGGAGCCGATACACATTTGATTTATGAAATGTTATGAATATTGATATTGAATGATATTGATTCCATTTACAGTAATGCAGAAATACAGTTCATCACAATTGCAGACTAGGAGAGTTCCGCGACTAGTTCTCCACTTGTTGAATTTCCAAGCAGGTTTTGCACACAACTTGTCACAATTATTCACAATTTATTTCCACCAGATGCGGGAGTTTTCCAGTAATGACCTGGCACTTACGTGAAGTCGACCCTGCTCTTGTAAAGTTTTCACCCGGAGGCCGCAGAGCCAGCTGCTCCAGAAGCGCTCTCTCCTCCTAGCGCTGAGGCTGGTGACTGCAGGGATTTCGTTGTGGGCTACAGGTATCTACAGGCCATGATTGGAGGATAGTGGAAAGATGAACACAATTGAAGCTTTTCTTTTCGATTCTCCCACATTGGCCTAACTATCCTAATTAAAGAAAAACGAAGAATTACTCTTATTTTTTGTTTGTTCATTTGATTGTGCCCCATGATTCGAGAAGGATGATGCAGAGCGAAGACGTCGTCAGAAAGAGCGAGAAGAGCAAGAGGCAATCGGTCATGCACGTGATGAAACACATTGCTTTTCTATGCTTTTCTGCGCTGGTTTCATTTGCTTTTGTCCTGATTTGATTTTACAATGTTTGAACATTTCTGATCCATTTGAGTTCTCTCTTTGCTGAATTACTATGCCTAAGGCGTTCCGAGAAGAGATGTGGAGACAGCGTGATGCTGCTGAACGCGAGGCGCGGCTTGGAGAAAGTCATGCCGCTTGTATAAATATTTAATACTGTATACTGTATACTTAAATGCAGTCAGTCCAGTAGATCATGCATTAGAAGCAAATGCATTAAATGCATTTCTCAATGGATGACAGTCTCATGAAAAGAGCATTCTGATATCCTCCCAATTTCCTGATTTACAACACATATTATGATATGTACTTACACTCACAGTAGTACACCCTGGATCAAATTGGGTAGCCAAAATTCAAGACCCAGGGGACCGCGGCAAACCATGACAGTTTGGCCCAACTTCAAGGCACTGCAGCGTCAGCAGCAACTTGCTGCTGCCGAGCGCGAGGCACAGCAATGGTGCAGCTGAGCCTTTTCGAACACCGCTGGAAGCCGTTTCCGCCACAGTTGTTCGTGGAATTGGAAGGACAAGATGAATGGCTAAAGGATATTAAAAGATTATGTATTCAGACAATACATTTAAACTGTACTTATACTTCCACTAATACTTTATTTTGTGAGAAGTATACATATTATATAGTCATATAGTTATATATTTATAATTATAATTATATTGTATATATATATATTATTATATATTAATTATATGTATATATATATATTGGAACAAGAAGGGCACAACCATCCTACTTGTACCAGGCACTTGTGGAGCAGATCAAGGCAGCACGCATGCAGCAGTCATTCGAGATGGAAATGCTGAAGGAGCAGGTGCCATGGGGTGGATATGGTGAACAATGCAGAATCCATGTGAATGGTTCGAACAATGGATCGTAGGCTTGATGTTTGCGGGTATCCTTACGGTCCGTTATATCTACTTGTGATTTAAGTTGAGTTGTGATCAATCCATATCAATCCTGTCATTGGAAAGAGTACTTCTATCCCTGCGATGCCCTGTTTTTTGAAAGTCTCGAGTTTGTGTCAGCAGATTTCTCGAGTTTGCAGGTAGCCCGTGCTGAAGATGCCCGACGGTCTCAGCAGGAAGAGCTGGAGCGTTTGAAGCAAGAGGCTGGGCCAAGGTCTCACGTCTCACGTCCAATTCGTTCAACATGTCTTGTCTTGTGTGTCTAGATGTAAGATGATGTAAGTGGTTCGGGGCCAGGTGACCAAGGGATCTGTCTACCAGGACTGCAACACCTTTACTCATCATCATGGTGTTTCTTTCATATTTCAGTGAGGGCCGTTGGTGGGCCGCAATTTCTGAAGTCCTATGGGCTCAAATGGTTTGCCAGAGGACCTTGTTCACAATTTCTGTGAATTTCCAGTGTATCATGTTGCAGGAGATCATACAGCAATTCAGATCCACGCCCTCTGGCTACCCATCAGCTTGAGCCTTACCCGTTGCTGCAAGTTGAGCATTCCAGAAGGCCCTGGAGCCAGTGGACGACTGGGAACAGGCCTGCATGTGCAAGTAGCCGGATTGATTTTACAGAATTCTGAGAACCGGGTGCCAAGACCTGCAATCGCCCAACTAATTATTATGTTGTTGATTTCAATTCAATTCCCATGAATATCATGAATGTTTCAGCCAACGAGTCAACTTTGCGTGTCATCACTGGTTGATATTGGTTGCCTGTATGAGGCTGGGCCTGCTCCACAAGGAATCGGTGATGTGCAGATTGTGCAGCAAGTGGAACAAGCGGCCCCCTTGGAGGCGACCAAACAGAAGCTGAAAGGGTTCTCCAGGTTTCAGAAGAGATTCTTGACGAATGTTGAGATTTGTTGAGGTCTTCTTTCATCTTTTTTCACATGTTCGGGGCTGAAGGAGTTGAAGTTGAAGGACATTTCAAGACTGCAGGTGGTTTCGACGCAAACGGCTGGAGTAACCACCCGAAGTATCTCTGTGGAGGCAAGAAGAACTTGGTCTTTGTACATATTCGTCGGACCAAGAGTTCGTTGGACCAAAGGAATATCATGGAATATCTCATATGCATTCATATGCGGCATGCCTAAAAATACGTGAGCCAGTCATAGCCTGTTAAGCTTTCTCCATGACTAGAAATCCAGATGGTGGACAAGAGTTGCGATCAGGTGAGCGAAACATAATTACTAAAGATTGCGTTAAGGTAAAGTTGAGTAAAACAAGTAGAACCGTAACAGCTGTAACAAGTCCATATTATTGCTTTTGGATACTTTTTTTTAACTCAAAGATCAAAGATCTTCAAAGAAGAGAAGGCAGCATATCATGTTGAATCAGGATAGAACATGATAGAACACAATACTTGTATGCCGTTTCTTCATACGGGGATATCCTTCGGTGACTCAGTGCGATAAATGGTGTCTATTTTCTCCCTCTCTCTCTCTCTCTTTCTATGTATAGCTCGAGGCTCTTCCTGACTTTTATTGACCTTTTTAGTTTGCACCCAATTTCACCATCACCAAATGTCATGAATATGGTGAATTATCGTGTTCAAGTCATGACAGCATGACGAATCGATATGAATCGCATGCTGAATGATGACAGAACACCATCTTCCACCACCCCCAGGCCGTCCCTGAGATGCCACGAATTCCTCAGAGCCAACGACCAAATCCGCGTGCATTGGAGCTTGGCAGAAATCAGGCAGGATTCGCTGCAAAGACGGCTTGGCTATGCTTGGCTTAGCTATCTTAGCTTCGGGTCAATTCGGTCCAGTCATCATTTTCCAGCCCAGATCAGTATTTGTGGGCACCTGAAATTGGAGGCTGAGATGCTTGAGCGGATGTTGATCAAGGTTCCTTGCCTGGCTTTGCCTCGGGTTTAATGTTTTTCGCGGCCATGGCCACTTTGCTCTGTTTCTTGCAGGCTGTGTTGCAGGGTTGGCAAACAGTCGTGCTCGGATGGAGGCCAAGTGCAAGGGAAGTTGCAGTACTTGCACCACTTTGTTGTATTTTGCAAATCTTTGCAATACTCCTTTGCCCATAGCATTTGACCGGAAAGCTAGAAGATTCTGAGGGAACATATGACTAATTCGCCACATTTCCCCACTGTGTTGTCATTCCTTTTGATTTGTTTGGGTCTGGAGGCCATTCGAGTCTCGCGTGCGAGATGTACCTTGGCAGACGCCACCAGAGGCCGTTGACCTGCACAGTGATGCCACAACAGCAAGTTTCACATCATTTCACAGTTTTACATAGTTTTACCACAGTCGGATCAGAATGGCTGAAAACAATTGGAGAGTTTGTATCCAGCTTGTTCAGATTGGACAGAGCTGAACCCTGCATCATGTGAAGAATCGGTGCAGGATCCCTTGCTACCACGACCCCGAGGGCAAAATTTGGCATTTAGTGCTGAAATGGCCGTGCAGGGCCTAAACAAGTGGCTTGCAACTCAGAACCCAGTGTTATTTATGCATCTGAGCTGTCAATCAGAAAGTGCATGGATGGAGGCGATGAACAAGGAGTCTTGAACGGAAGTTGAAGGATCGAATCCATCAACTGTGCATGATATAACTTACTAGTATTTACTAGTAAGACTATTCTCATCCGATGCCAAAAGAGAAGACGCCTGAGTGGGGTAGTGGGGTAGTGGGGTAGTGGGGTAGTGGTTTTGGCCAGTGTTTTTGCATGATTTTTGCACGGTGTTACTTCACGTTATTTCAGATTGTCATGTGAGGTCTGCAGAGCCTGTTGAAGGTGATCTCACCACGGCGTCAGGGTCCTGAGGTGATTGCAGCTGCAGAAACCGGTTTTGACATGAGTGGATTTCAAAGTCCAACAACATTTATCAAAAGATAACAAAAGTCCACAGAAGATACAGAAGGAGAAACACAGAAACACACAAGATTCTGAGGAAACATAGGAAACAACGAGCAGCTCAAGTGTTTTGGACCATTGTCAGTATGTTTCAGTATGTTTCGTTGTTGCTACTGTAGGCACTAGTCTGATTTCTCGGGCTCAGTGGTGTTCGACCAGTGAAAGATGCACAATGCACCGAACAGCGGCACAGCCACCGAGGGACATGTACGAAGCTGCTGCTCGAGCTCATGCAACCTTTGCCAGTTGGGCTGTGAGTCTAAGTCCCAGTTGGGCTTGTGTTTTAGCCTTTGAACAAGCAGCAGCAAAGGCCACTTGATTAAGTCAAACGACTTTTAATTGGCCTGTACTTCTGGCATTGCTTGGTGGTAAATTACCGGATCCATTTCAGCCGCAGGCTCCAGCCGACGTCACATGTCAGGGCCTAAGTATGCCTAAGTCTTTCATAGGGATTCGCATGCCACCAAGAGCTTCAAGGGATTGCGCAGCATTATATATAATGCTGCGCAATCCCTTGAAGCTCTTGGTGGCATGCGAATCCCTATGAAAGACATATATAAGTGATAGCGGCAGCTTGCATTGCACAACCCGAATGTCAGTTTGGACATTTGAGCATTTCGTTCTTCAACACACGAGCGATGCCGAAAGACAAAAACACGACACTTCATCAAGCAGAGATGGATTGTGCAAAGCACAGCATGCTTTTGAAGCAGATTCTGCTGAGTTTTTCTGCTGAGTTTCTGGGTATTTCTGGGTCACACACTTTGTATCGTGGGCTGTCGCCCTGCTGCAGGTCAGCGAATCAGATTGAACTATCTCCTGAGGAGGAGGCAGGTCTGATGTACCTTGCTTAATGAGTTTAATGCCACAAAATTGATAACGTGCTGGTGCTCAATACATCTCAATACTTATTTACGCACAGGTCACCTAAAATGCATGGATTGAAGAACTTCTGCTCTCATACGAGATCCTGTGGTCAATTCACGACATGTTTTGAAAGGCTGGAGAGCAAGCAGTCCTCCGAGCCACTGAAAATATTTCTGCGCAGGTCATGGAGGAACCTTCTATCTTCAACAGTCCAGTTTTTCGTGCAGTGACTGTTTTGGACACTGAATTTCAAGTAGCCAAATCATCCATGTTGTTCTTGTCGTCAGTGTCTGGAAATCAACATCCTTGATCGACTTACTGGGCCAATGAAACAGACATGCTTCACTCAAGCATACTTCTATGGTCTGAAACCAAGAATCAGGAGCTTGAGCAGTTCGCGATGCAGCCAACATCTTCTTGGCCGCGCCTCAACTTAATTGCATGTATTATAGATTCTATTTCGTTGTCCTTTCATTGTCATATTTCTCATCTCATTTCTGGCTTTTTCCATCCAATTACTTTATGAAAGAAGTGGACAGTTGAGTGGGCAGTGCAGAACTAAAAGGAGGAAACTGTGGGAACGCACGCTTTGGAATTCTTTGGAATCTGCAGGAAGGGAGTAGGACTATGGAGGACCCCAGTGTACAAAAATAACATAACACATAATCTATGTACTCGTACTATGTCACAAAGTAACAATATGTAACAATAAGAACTACTGTACAGTTTCATCACATATCATAATATATCATAATATATCATAATTAATAATCATAACATATCATAGCGTAAAATATCATAAACTATCATAAAGTGTTTAGTCACACACACACACAAAGTGTCATAAAGTACTGGCTGGCCTGTGACAGAACAAGTGAGTCCCACAAAGGCCACCCTTGCTGCCTCCTCGTCCAGTGCTTCCTGGCGATAGTGGATGGGATGAACGTGTGAGACACGTTGCAGAGCCACGACGACGCTTGGCTCCATGCTGACAGCTTTCCTGCAAAAGATCACCCATGCCGCTGCATGTTTGACGCGCCAAATATGATATACTATCCGTAAAGCATAGTAAAGCTTGTTGCCCACACACGCACGCATGCATGCACACAGAACATGACACAACATGACAGGACTTTTTGCTGGCTCTGCGAGCTCTCAACCTTTTTCTCTTGATTCGAAATCTCTGTCACCAAGGCAGGTTATTTGGAACAGAGGAAGAAACCGTTGAGGAGTTGAAGATGTTGAAGTGATTCAAGCATCGCTTGCACCATCTTTCACCTTTGGAAGCAGAACACTGTGGTTGACATGACTTGCCTGGATGGCCATTGCTCGGAGGAGGTTCTGGTTGTTCAAAGTGATGGCTATTTGACGAGCTTTCACGCCTTGCCCAGTGCTGATGCAGGCAGAGTTGTACTTTGAAAGATTGACGCGATCTGTCAAGAAAATCAAGAGTGAACACGTGAAACTGTTCATCCGTCACGGGCAACAGGATGTTAATTGACCTGGTTTCCGAAACAATACAATATGAAACCAAGCCAAGTGGCAGGAGATTCTTTCTTGAGAGACTTGAATGATCTTGAATGTTGGAACTCCAGCGTTGATTTGCCTTGGTTCCAAGCAGGCTTTGTTTGGGTTTGGATCTTTTTAATTACAGTAAAGCATCAGCTACTCTCATGCGAGCTTGCCCAGTGGAGTTTATCTTTCATTGGTCCCCAAACATATTCCACCAACTCAGCAGCCAGGGCAATCTACAAGCGAACCTCTAGAAGCTGAGAGCCTTGTCTGCAATCTTTCAGTGCAGTTCTTGAATGCTACAATTATGTTGACACCTTGATAAAGGGTCGCCATACATATCATATCTAGCATTTTCCACCACTCTCCCACCATTTTTGCCTACCAAATTTGCGTTGATTCCATCCCCAACCTTCACGTTTTTTTTTCCCGTCTCTGAAAGCCAACCATGAGTTTCTTTGAACAGACCAAACTACAGGGAAATGGCCTGTTTGTCACAGTGTTACCCAATGGTGGCCCGGTGGCCATGCAGTGTTGGTGCCGGCTAAACCGGGGTAATTAGCAAGAGCCAGGGTCATTCAGAAAGTTTTTGTCTATCCATACTGTGGTCAACCTATTCAATGGGCAAGACGGCAAGACCTCTGTTTCTGCTGCAGGAATGGTTGAGAAACTTCTCGTGGCCAAACTTATAGCTGAATGGATGCTCCAAGCTGGTGGATTTCAAGCTGTCATTAATTGGCTTGACGGCCAATGTTGATACATGTTGATACGGTTTAGGATGACCCAAACGGGTTCATTTGTACATAGAATGGTGTTCAATAGGTACAAGGCAAAGCCTTTGATCGGGGATTGAGAATGCAGAAGTCTTTTCGCAAGGGTCTACACTTCGAATTGAAAGGAAAACCATGGAAGATCATGGAAGTACTTTTGGTGGCAAGATTGACCAGAGAGCCCATGATCATGGCAACCCTCGCACTGGCCTTCCTTGTCTCTGCCGATCTTGTCATTAGTTTGGATGGCAAGCTCAAGGTCTCACGCGTGACCGTAAGACATCGGAAAAAGCTGGGAAAAGAAGTCCCCAAAGAATTCCTTGAGCTCAGTTGACTTGGGGCGCCCATTGCTATTTGCAGAGAAAATGTGGCCATGTCTTTGAAACCCCGAAACTTCAAGGCCAAAACTCTCACTCTTTTGTCCATATATGCCCCACAAAGGTGATTCGAGTTCTTGGGTCTCACGACATGTGTTTTTGAAACCTTGAATTTTCAATGACAAAACATGACAAGACTCAATGCAGGGTACTGGTGATAGTACAATTATTTTTGTTTTCAACTGCTTTCAATATGTTATGTTTTTTGTTTGAACGTGTTTGACTGGTTCGTGTAGCAAAGAGTTTAAATTGGTGAAACTGACCTTGAATACAATGCAACCGCGGCCACAAGCTCTCAGAGTAGCAAACTTCATGAGTCATGTTAGCCATTCAGAATTATTCAACACCACAAACACTCCAGTTTTCAGATCCAAGCGATGCTGTGTCAGCTAGTGAAATTTCACTCAGTGCTTCAGATCACAAGCCGCAAACCAACTTGGTTGAAGGATGTTGAAGGTCAACAGTTACCAGTTACCAAATGTTACCAAACAATGCAAACAGCGGTGAGAACCGAGCCTAGCTTCGTCAGTCTCTTCGAATTCGAGCGAACATGGAGGCCATTTTGTGGAAATGGAATCCATTGGATTCCTACTGAATCCTTCGTGAGAGCGAACCCAGTTGACATGTTTGACTCCAGGCGCAGTCCGCAAGTGCGACCGCGACTTCCGTTCGGTCGGGTTCCCATGTCGGTGCATGCCGTGGTTGCAACGCGGATTATTCCAAACAGCAGAAATGAGTGCTGCATCAACACCGAAGAGAACACACGACTAGATGAAGAAAAGACAAAATAAAGAAGTAAAGAACACGATGAACACGTTCAAACCAAAACACTTCACCAACTTCGAATTTTCTAAGGCGTTTGCGTCGAGAGCTGCAACTGATCCAACAGTCGCCCAACTCGCAGGCCGTGTAATTTTGCAGCGGCTGAGACCATTAGACCATATTGGACCATATTGGACCATTGTTTTATTGTGTTTTGTTCAGGTGGCTGTCAAACCTTCAAGTTCTTCCTTGCTAGAGCTGCAGCCCCAGACACGCTGGATGGCGCTGGCCTGTTAGGCACTTTTTGTTAGTAGCTTTGGTAGCAAACAAGTGGCGCAAACTGTGGAGGTGGCATTTTGCACTGCATTCCCTTCCCGCAGACACGTGGGAAACTCAAAAAGTAAAGGTTTAGAGTTTGGCCTGATTTGAATCGGATAGAATCAAACATTCGCAGCTATGAGATTCTGTGCCAAGTCCATACAGCAGCGGTTGCTACCATGGCAGGCAGGGAACTTTGCAAACCTTTGCTTAAACACTGATGAAGAAGTCAAGTTTGAGGCAGCAGAGGACAGCACAGATGATCACAGATTTCACAACATTTGCTAAGGCTGCTGTTTCCTGCCAACTACCCACATGCACCACCAACAGTGGTCATGGTCACTCCAAGCGGACGTTTGGAAGTTGGCTGCCGCCTTTGTGAAAGCCCCAGCCCTGCAGAAAACTGGGTCAAGTGTGACGTTGCGCAATCTTGATGAGAATATTTTGGCAAAACGTAGAACACACACATCCAAAGAATTGGAAGATCTTGAGAGACCGTTTGATGCTATTGATTCCTACTGATTCCTGTTTTTGATTCCTTTTGATCAGCTCTTCAAGTTCCCTAGAATGGTCAAGCTCAAGTAAGTGGAGGTCTCAGCATGACGGACTTCCATCCGGAGGCCTGACAACGTACGCAATGGAGTCTAGACATGTCTCCACTGAACATCATTTGATCACCCGTACAGACCCATGTTGCATACTGTTTGCATACCCCTTTGGCTTTGGCTGGACCTAGATTCATGATGCTTCATGATGCTTCATGCACGTTCATCTCATTTCATCTCCATCAGAGCAACCAACTTCGCTCTTCGCTGTGCCAGAGCTGGAACCCTGCGTGGTCTGTCGACACAATTCTGACTGGCCTCTTGTCGTTCTTCCTCTCTGATTCGGAGTCCGGCCTGCAACTCAGAAGTGTGGCAAGGGAGGGCTAATGCAGCTAATATTCAATTTATAGGTTTGATATGGTTTGATATGGTTTGATATGGTTTGATATGGTTTGATTCTGCACAGTGACAGTTTCATCAGGCTATGGTTCTGTCCAATCGTCAGATGAGCAGCGAAGACAGCTGGCGCGGTCGTCATGGGTGCCTTGGCCCATGGTGCAGCTGACCACCGGAAAACTTGATGAAAGCAAAGTGCTCATGATTAATCTACCAAAAAATCAGTCCCACAAAACGATCGGCATTTGACAAAGCCGGGATGTTGAGAGTTGGCAGCTGTAGCGCCTTCAGTATTCTCTGCGTGGCCTTGTCGCACAACGAGGCTCACAATGCAACAGACCCAGACTTTGTACAGCTTTTTCCGGAGCTTATGGAGCCACCTGAGAGGTGCCAAGTGGATCCGAATGTGTTTTTGCTGGCCAAGAGACAAGCGGCAAGATGGAGATTTCTTGGGTACCCAATTGAGTGACATCTCTCATTCAATGTCTTCAACATTCAAGCATTGAAGTAGCACTGGTTGATTTGGCTAGGCGGGCCTCAACTGCACAGGGAAGCAGTCAGATTCCAAGTAATCTGCAGTGCAACGAGCACTACTTCTATGTTGCACTATGCAATCTTGATCGGTTGTGAAAGACTGCGACTGACACACCATGTCACCAGGTATCGTTTCCATAACTGGATATTGCTGATCTCGTATTCCATGCTGAGGTCAAGAGCGGGCAGCACACATGCAGGTTTGGGAATCATTTGGAATCAGACTCCGCTTTGACTTCAACAGACAACAGATTATTCTATATGTATCCTCTAACCGATTCAGCAGGCTGAAGGCAAATTAGATGCATTTTGCAAGTTGCAACAGTCTGCCTATTGCCAACGCTTGATTCGGATCGACACAGAAAATACCGGTGAATCAGGTGAATGTAGGATATGTATATTATATTATATTATATACAATATATTATATATTGTTTGTTATATATTAAATATTGTATATTGTATATTATATATTATACATTATATATTATATATTATATATTATATATTATATATATTATATATATATATATATTACATATGATATATTATATATTCGATATTATATATTGGATGTGACGGCAACTATAGGCAACGTATTTCTATATCTTGTTTCTCAGGCTCGGGAATGCTGGATCTGCCGGGACGTTGGCTCCGAGCCATTGATCCATCCCTGTGCTTGTCGAGGGTCGGCCCAGCCTGTTGGTAGCATTGCCTTGCACAGGATTTTCCATCAAGTGGGGATGGGTCAAAACCCTGGTACCTAGTGAACCCCAAAATAGCTGGTAAATGGATGTTCATCCCACATCATCCCACTAAAATGTATCTATAGGTATTGACCCATACCCAAGTCTTGTGGATCTTCGGGGCTTTGAGGTGTAAGTGAGACTTCAAATACTTCAATCATCTAGTTCAAGATACTTCAACAGCGAGTTCGCGCTGGATATTGCAGATGATGTGAAGATACGTGAAGATTGAATATATCCAGCATGACTCTATTCTTGTTTCTTCGGAATTGTTGGGGGCTGCTCTTTGACGGCTAGTGAAACTGTGGAGCTGCGGGAGCTGCGGAAATCTACCGAAGCCATATTGGTTTAAGAGAGCAGTGGCGGTGCACGCCCAAAAAGGCGCTGCAGCATTTCATCAAAATTTCATCCATGTTCTCAGTTCTTTGAACCTGCAAAGAGAAAAACTCAAGAGTTCAGATTCTTTCGTCCCTGCGTCCCAGATGTTCAATTGCTTTCCCATGCTACTATTTGCGTATATAATATATATATATATATAATAAATATAATAAATATAATAAATATAATAAATATAATATATATATAATATATATATGATATATATATAATATAATATAATATATATATACATATATTATACCACCAGACAAATCGAGGTCATGTTGCGTCGCCGTGCTTTGGTGCTGGCTGAAACTTGGCCCGATTTTTTGGTTCTGTCCAAATCTGTGAGAAGAGAATCCAAACCCGTGACATTTCAATATATTCAATATGAAAAGGACAGTTTACAGTTTACACCACAAATTGTAAGTTCGATACCAATTTCTTTCATCACAATTTCATTTAAAGTTGTGGATCTTGTCGGGTGATTTCCGAATTTTTCAATGTTACTGTAGTGCTGTTAGTGATGTTTTTTCTGGGCTTCTCAGAGGCCTTGCCAGCGATATTATTGCTTTCACCTGGCGTGTCCTTTGTGAACACCTATGTCGTGCAAAGAGTGCTACAAAGAAATGACCAGGCCGCTTGATGTTTCAGCGGCGTTCTACCCTTGGAGTCATGTTGAGTCCAGCTGTGGCTGTGTGCCAGGCCTTGGTTGGCAGAAATGCCAAATCAGATTGCGAAGCCTCTTGTCATGCTGTTGATGCTGTTGTGATGGACTGGAATGATCTGGCACATAGCACAGCGGACGCTCAAGAAGGACTTGAACCATTGTGAAGCAGAATCCAAGGACTTCTCCCATGGTAGCTTTTCAACAGCATCGCTAGTAGGCGGGGAAGAACTGGCTGCACCGGATGCCATGATCCAAGAGCTTTTCAGAAGGCATTCCACTCTTCATGAAAGGCACAACTCGACAATCAGACAATCATCATACAAACGAGGGATGTTGAGATGGTACTATGTCCCATGCATGAGCCACACACTGCTTTTGGGAAAGAAATCTCTCTGCTCTGGTCGAGCTTGGCAGAGTCTACAAGATTTTGCAGAGTGGTAGCCAACTAATAAGATGCCTGTGCAAGCCTGCCTTCAAAACTCCAAAGATCTAAAAGCCAGTGGCAAGAATGCCTAACCCGAGGCGGCCTTGCTGGATTTTTCCTGTCCTTCATGGTAGCAGCGGCACAGATGACTCCTGCCGCTGCTGATGCAGATGGGTCTCCTACAGGTATGGGTCTTGGTTGGTGCCGCATTAGAGGAGGATTTGCCAGAGAACACGAACTTTGCTGGAGCAATATGGATCAATATGGAGTAATCTTGTCTCAGCGCTAAAAACAAGGCTTTGCAGAATTTGCAAGAAAAGGCGGCAAAATGGATGCAGCGGCTCGGCTCAAACATGTGAAGCGCCTGAAGCCAGCCTTAGCTCATAGAGACAGATCGATCATGATCGATCTATACCTACAGAAGTGCTTGATTCTCCTGATCCAAAAAAATCCGAGCTTTTGCGAGGACGTTGGCTGTTTCTTCGTCCAATGTGGAAAGCAGACCAAGGACGGACATGAACTTGTTTCCATGATTTAAAATTTAGAAGTACGTACACTGCTGGTATACCACCCCACCCACCACCCATGCAACGAAGGAATGCTTTGCAGAAGATGGACGCTGCTTGCGACTTGTTTGCAATTGCAAAGCCTGTAGCTTCTAGGGTTTCCTGGTGAGTTCTCTATAGAAGGGTGAAGTATTTTCTTCTCATTTCTTCTCCAATTTTACATTGAGGAAGGGTGCCATGTGCTTGGCTCGCTGTCGCGGAGACTCCGATTGTGCCACCCAATGCTTTGCAGAATATGGGTGCCCAAGGCCAGTTTCGACAAATGTTATAGCAACATATAGCAACCAAGGCCACTTAATTCTGGAAATTAGTTCGACATAGTTCCACCATACTGGTTCCGTGCGGCTGCTTCTCTGTATCGACTTGGCAGGCTGGATGCGTGGCTGAACTGCACAGTCGAAAAGGAGCAATGTGTGAGTGTGCCAGCAGGCACATACGACGTTTGGATGAAAAATTTCAGACGCGCACAAGGGCTGACAATGGCTGACATGAATTGCCGGGACCATAAGGGAGATGTCCTGCAATATCTGCTGTGCAGACATATTGTATACTGCATGTATACACAATTTCACTCGCAGAACTCATCACTGTTCACTGCCTTTCGAGCGCCCAATCATATCCCTTGCTTGGCTGCTGGGTAGGATGTCAATTATGATGCATTCGGCTTCTGCACTTCACTAGTTGCAAGATCTGACTGTCATATGAAGCGTCATGGGGCCATATATGGAGCCTGTATCCGCCGTATCCGCCTGTCCTTTCTTTAAGGATGTCAAAAAGTTCTATTCGGAGAATATCCCTACGAAGCTGAAGGATTTCGACGTGCGAAAACTGGAAGGGAAGTGGTACAAAGTGCGAGGCTACAACCCGAAGTATGACTGCTATCCTTGCCAGACAAACACGTTCAAATACAATGCAGAAACGGGCAAGATGGAGACGGAAGTGAAGCTTCGAGTCGCGAATCTGGGAACGAAATTGGTTTTGTCGGATGTTTTTGATGCACTGTGATGCACTATCATTGTCATGCGTCGTCTTGAACAACTTACTGTAGCTAAGGAGGAAGAAATCTGGCGGATTCTGGGAGAATGTGTTGACAGAAAAGATGGACGTGCAAAGTCCATCTGATCGAAGCACTCTGTACCTTGAAAGGACAAAGTTTTTGCAATCATCCAGATATATTACCTTTGGATACCTTCGCGTTTCAGGGTGTTTTCTTGACAACCGCACTCATGCAGCATACCATGTGCTCAGGTTTGCAAAGGGAGAGATCTTTGGCCTATCATTCCAAGAAGAATGGTATGTGCTCGGCGCAGATGATGATTTTGTGCTGACTGCATATGTGGGCAACAACCTGCAGGACACTTTGTCACGGGGGCAATAAAGTTTACTGCAAAAGACTCAAAGTCTCAGCCGAGTAGCTCTTAGTGACGTTTGAGCTTGAGGGCTCCTAACCGGAGACTTTGCTGGGAAATTCAAGCAGAGACAGCCTTGATGTTTTCTCTTGCACATGTGCAGGACGCCTACAAAGGCCAGAGAATCCATCCACATTTATCCACATTTTTTAATGCTTTGACTTCATGCGAATTCAGTTCTTACTGTGTGAAGAGTGATTTCAGAGACAGATTTCGCGATTACTGACTGATCCATCGGAACTATTTTCTTCGCAGCTATTGATGGGCTGCCGGACAGGCAGTTTTGTGTACTCGCGAAAACCCGTGCTATCTGCCGAATCAGAAGCCAAAGCCAGGGCAATCGCAGAGAAGAACGGCACCCTGGAAATGAAATGATTTTGGTTTGATATTTGGTTTGTTTCTAGAGGGAAACTTTTGGAGGGAACAAAAATCTGATTCCAAGCAACAGAAATTGTTCGCCCTTCTTCGATTTTTACGACGTGAGAAGACTCAGGACTGGATTGGTCGTGGCTTGGAACCCATTTACTTGACACCACAGCCTGGTTTGCATTTTGCGATATTTTGCGGTTGCAAACAACCCGGCAAATGCACGGGTTGCTTGGTGACGTGTTGTTACGTGTGAAAACGAGGAAGTACTGCGTGATAGACAATGCTTGTCCTGATCAGCCACCAGTGGACTATTCATCTCCGGTGTCTATGAACCTGGATGCAGCTTGTCAAACTCGATTTTCTATGATTTTCATTTGATTTTCTTGAATTCAGTGCGGTATGTTTGCATAAATGTATTATAATATATTATAATGATTTATTATGTATTGAAGGTATTGGAATTGGAAGGCATTCTGCATGCCACAACTGCTCTCTTGGAATCCTTGGAACTGTTGCAGCTACAGCAAGTCTGTGAATGCCTGTGATACTCAGGACATGCAGGACCTCGTCGAATGGTTCGCACCAGGCTCTACGAGAGGGGGAACCGTGGCTCGGCAATATTAAGAACAGGCTTCCCCAAATTCTGTGGCTCCGCTTTTCCACCTTTTCCATGACACTATGTTTCTTCATGTCTTGATCATGTTTTGGTTCCAAGTGCGTGGCCCATGCATTTGCGGATATTTTATTTGCGGAGGTCAAGGATGAGAGCTTTAACGGAGACTACTAGACCCAATGAGAGCGGCATGTGAGGACGTGTGAAACGTCATGTCCTCATGTTGGATGAAAGCTGCGGTTTGTGTGGCCTTCGCCTGGAAAGAATCAGTCATGGACTGCAACTATCTGTGTACCAGAGAAGATATGATAGATATCAATTATATGTTTTTAAATTGTTTTTGAATTGCAATCAAAATTATTGTTTGTTTGATATTATTTGAGATTGTTTGCATTACATTTTGGGACAGATCGTTTTTAGTCTTTACAATGTCTTTACAAGTGAGAGGGGAGAGTGGGCAGTTCCACGCGAAGTTTCAATTTCAATTAAGTTTTGCAATTGGAGAATATATAACAAGAATTAAACAGATGTGTGAAATGTCTTCATACCTGGTCGCAACTAGCAGGAGCTGCAGTAGAGCAACCATTATAAACGGTATCTGTACGTATTACATACATTGTAAAAAAAATAAATGGGCGCCGTCCATGACCGAATTTTTGAATGTGTCAGGGTACGTACGTGCCTGACATTTGTTGACATCTGATACACATCCATTACATTTCAGTTTAATATTCTGTGGCTTGGGGGCATTTGAAGCCCTGCAAGTTGACAATGTGCGGCCGCGTGCGCTGAAGTACTTTCGAAGAGGCCCTGCTCAGTTACCTAGATGTAGAGATATGTAGAGTAAGTGTTTACGCAGAGGCACATTGGTCAGCAAGGCATGCGAGAACGCTGACACACGGCCAGAAGTCAATGCAAAAGAGTTTCACTGCAGCTTGCTGGTCACGAAAGGTAGCGTCAGCTACCTGAGTTCTCCGTGCTTCAGCACAAGCTTAGGGGGTATTGGGGGGCCAGCCCGTGCAATTCATGGAATTCTCGCCGTTATGTATTGGATATCAATTATAAGGGGGGCCCCCCCCCCCGAAAATGGTCATGGGTTCAATTCCCACGGGTGACGCGGTCACGGGCCCCCACATTAGAGGCACACTTTCCATGAGGGAGATGTCCCTGTAGTCCAGCATAATTGGTATGCTTCAGCCTCAATAACAGTTGCTGCAAGGGGTCTTAAAAAGGGGTTTTAAATAAACCCCTTTTCGTGCATCATTTCACGCAGCACAAGACACAGTGTCATGCAGTCATGCTCTGGATAAAATCATCTTAGACTGCGCAAAAACGTTTTTGGTGTATCATCTTAGGGGCGCAGCATTTTGACACCACTCCTCTCCCACTACACTACCTTTCGTCCGCCTCCGCCTGCTCTCAAGTGTTGAAGGTTGAACTCATGAGTTCAGAACACGTTTCTGATGGTTCTCCGTGAAATGCAGTGAATTGGATACCACGTAGCAATACCGGATTAATCCAATAGCTCTTAGCAAAGCCGCAAAGCCCAAAGTTTCCATGTTCTTTTCTTTGCAAATGAACAGAGTCGAGTTTTTGGTGCCTGACTATGGTCTGGAATCCTGAACATGTGAAGCATTTTCATCGCTACATTTTGACATTTGTATATTTTTCCCTGCAAAAAAGACAGGTCAATGAGTGGTGTGCATGCTTCTTGCGTTGAGCAGCTGCATCCTCAGAAGTGAAATCTGGAAATACTCGGATACGGACAACGTAACAGTGCAACAGCCTTCACTGGTGAGATTCCACCATGAGATTTCCAATGCCTGATGATGGATGGCTGGTTTATCAATGTTTACTAGACTTGATTGGTGAGTCAGTAGATGTGATTGCTAGGTGTGTTCACATGGGCAATCATTTTCACTCACAAGAGCTGGTGTGTTAGTGTTCAAATCTTCACCAAGGGGTGTGTCCCATTACACCCAAATTGTGATATCCCTTTCTCTCCCATCATATATATATACATCCAGAATTATAAATAGTATATATCATCCACGCCATTATCCCAGTATATTAGAATATCCCATTCATATATTTAATATTAATATCCAGCAATCGGATTATGAATATCCCATTACGTATCCTGTTACATCTCCTTGTATTCTCTTATCATATCTCATCATATCTTGTCATATCTCATCATATCTCATCATATCTCATCACATCTCATTATATCTCATTATATATCATTACATCTCATTATATATCATTATATTTGAATATATCATCATGTCTCATTATGTCTCATTGTGTCTCATTGCATCTTATCATGATTAGATATTCCATTATATCATATATATATATATCATATTCAATATACCTCATCAATCCTCATCATATATCCCATGGTTGATTCCTCATCCCATGGTTCCCCAACACATTTTCCAGGTGGATGCGACACCAGCGCCAAGCCGGAGGGGGCGGAAGCCGTCCACGCTGCAGCATTTGTCGTGAAGCGTGCCCTGAAAAACGCCTCCAAAAAGGGTCATTTTTCATGGGGAAACCATGGGAAACCAATAGAATTTTGAGGTATTTCATGGTATTTCTATATAGTGATCTATAGTGATCTATAGTGATCTATAGTGATCTATAGTGTACATTATGTGTTTCACAATTTTGAGAACCAGCCTAAGTTGAGGATGGGATGAGTGTGAGCCAAAGTTATATTATCCCTAAAATGGCTGGTTTAATCGCAAGTGACATTTTTTTGTCGGTCCACCATTTGGTATCCCATGGCGCATCATTGCGCCCTTTCGCATGAGTCTGAATTTCAAGGTACTTGGGCCAAGAAGTGCGGCCTGGCCTGAGTAGCTTTGTGCTGGTGGCTCAGTGGATGAGACACGATGAAAGAAGTTGCGAAGTGCGTCGCCACTTTCTGATTTTTGGAGGTTTCACTATGCTTCAGACTTTGGCGGCCAGCTCATCCGCAGGCATCGCACAGATCATTATAAACATTATAGACATTTATAGTCCCTCATGATCTTCATTTTTCCACAGTTGGTTTTTAATACCTTGACTGAAAGACATGCTACGATCATCCTGCTGATCCGTAACTTGGTAATTGGTATCCAAGCCTCTCAGGGGTTAAGTTCAGCGCAGATCTCACTCGCGGCCAGTGCCCTCCTGGTGGCGATGCTGCTGGGTTTCCAGGACTGCTGGCGCGGCAAGGAGGCCTGATGCATCGGGATGAGGGCGAAAATCCGGCAAGACAGCGCTGAAAAGCTTCAAAGTTAGTGATACTAAAACTATATAATACTATCTAGTAATACTTGATAATTACATCTTAATATACTATCTAATACTATGTTTTGTAAGACATGTCGTTTGATCATGTCTCGAAAGGTAGCGGTGAGCTACCTGAGTTCCCCCTTGCGTAGCAAGTATTAGGGGGCGAGCGGTGCAAGTGCAAGAGTTTGGGCCGGTTATGTCTCGGTCCGCCTTTCAAGGGGGGGGGGCCCCCCCCCCACCCTTCGATTCCCCCCAGGTCCGCCTCTAAAGCCGGGTTTGCAACATAGGCGGACTACAAGGAAACGCCA